CAGAGAAGAAAAGAAAAAATTTGATGTCTAGGGCTCTCCTCATTTTTGATGATCTCTGGCAGGTTTTTTGTGAGGGTTAGAGATTATCTGAAACTAGGAGGGTGCAGACTTGAAAAGAAGTTTGCTTGTCTGGCTCACTCCTCATTTTTGATGCTATCTTATATCCATGTTTCTTAACTAAAATATGTCGGAACCAGCTAGAAAAATATGATCATCTCCAATAATTTGAGTATGAGAACTAATGAGAGCGCAGAGAAGAAAAGAAAAAAATGTAGTGTCTAGAGCTCTCCTCATTTTTGATGATCTCTGGCAGGGTTTTTGGGGGAAATTAGAGATCACCTGAAATTTAGAGAGTGCAGACGTGAAAAATTTTTTGCATGTTCGGCTCATTTCTGAGTATGACTGACATTATCTTTCTTTTTGAAACTTCAAACTTTCCACTAGAAGAGAAACAGCAAAGTCCTGTAAAAAATTTTCAGGATTTGAAGGGTCGAGGGAAGAATAGTATTAGGAAATGAGAGAGATTAGACAAAATTTTTGATTTTTCCATCTCCAAGTTTCTTTTTCGAAAGTCAACAGATATTAAAAGCCTGAAATTTTGTTTCCTAGGTTTCCTACTATTAGAAGGAAATTGGTCAAAGAGACACCGAAAAATAGTGTGGGGAAATAAGAGAGATTAGAGAAAAATATAACTTTCCAGCCTAAATTTCTTCTCCAAAAGTCAATTGATACTAGAAGCTCAAAATTTTGATCCCTAGGTTTCCTACCATAATTTATTCATTTTTAATAAGCCTTCCTCTACGATTAGATATTCTAGACATATCCGAAAGAAGGACGTCACAAAAATTGTGTGTGATGATGAAAAATTGAATGCTCTTCGAGCCGTTGGTGAGCGAATTAAACGTGCTTCTTTGTTGTCGGCCGCGAGAAAAAAGGAGGGGGGCAAGGTCTTCGGATGATTTTTGACGAGTTTCATCTTCGAGAAGTTTCCTTCCGTTGTTTCCTCGTTTTGGAATTTTTTTCCAGTTTTTTCAGCTTTATAGTCTTTTTTCAGTGAAGGTGGTCCTTGAGAGAAATTATTGAAATATGAACTTTTTTTCTACTTCGTTGGTTTTTGACGAATTGACTGACACCTTCTTTTGTAGATTGGCTAAATGAATTTTGGATTTTCGATCGCCATTGAGCGCAAGTCGTTTTGTGGTCGGGCGCAAGTTTTTAGGAGCAAGGCCCTTTCCAGTGCGACCTATTAGTTTCAATTAAATTAATTAAATATTTTTTTAGTACTTATTTTTTTGCGGTATGGAATGGGTGTTAAAATTTCTTAAAGATCATTTGCGCTCTATTGAAAAAAAGTCCAAGTGATTCTATAAGTGTTTTTAATAATTTTGGTTTTTTTTAGTTTTTTTGACGTCGAGCGCAAGTCGTTTTATGTTCGGGCGCAAGTTTTTTTGGAGCATCTTTTTTTCTCTGGTCATTCTAATAAGAATATAGTGTTGAAACAGTACAGGGTTTCTTGAAAGATCATTTGCGCTCTATTGAGAAAAAGTTTAAGTGATTCCTCAAGTGGCTTTGAAAATTTTGATTTTTTTGAACAGAACTTTCACTAGCCATCATTTGAAGTTGGAATCAGAAAATTTAAAAAAAAGTCAGAAGGAAGCTGACACTTTTTCATAGCCCAAATCAGGGTCCAACTCATAAATTGTTATTTTCTATCCAAACTACACAGTGATTTCGATTCTTGTCTTGTTTTTGAGCCGGGAAACCGTATAATTAAACGAGGTGACGTGCGAAAAACAAGACTTCCGAAGGAAAAAAAGGAAGAGAAGAAGAACTGACATCACCTTTAATTTTAGGTTATATCCAACCTAAAACCTGGCTTTTTTATCTCGTACCTTACCCTTCTCACTAGCCGGCAGATGTTTTCCGTCGAGGGTGGATTGCCAATTTCCGTTTTGCACCGATTTTGGGCTTTTACCTTTCTCGTTTTTCATTTTGAGTTGCCTTTTTCTCCTCTTTTTATAATAAAAAAATTTAAAAAAATTTTTGGCGGATTTCAAGGTTTTTTTATAGCCATCATTTGCCATAAGTTTGAAGATGTTCAACAAAAAAAATCAAGTCGGCTTTATTTTTCGTGGAATCTGCGCTCCATTGATAAAACTGATTATTTCTAGAAATTTTTTTAAGGACTTTTGAAAAAAATTCTCTACGAAATATGGGCTCTATTCGAAGAAAACAGTACCTTGCAAATTTTTTTATTTCGAACTTTCAAGTCGACAACCAAAAAAACATATGCCACTTTTTTTGATGGACATGATCAAATTCTGGATTTTTTTATCGATGGAATTATCGAAATTCTGGAATCTTGTCATTTTTTTAGATCGCTTTTTTTATCTATATCTATCGAATTCGCGTTTCTTACCGTTTAAAAAAATATTTTTCAGGTTAAATCTATTTTTTTAAAGCAATAGAAAGTTCAGTATTATCTTCAGTTCTAAAATGTTCTCAAAGCTGAGAATTTCGAGGCTTATTTGAAGTTTTAAAGCCGAGAAATGGAAGACGGAAAGTCCCCCTCTTCATTTCACCCATATTTTTCAAATCAAAAAACCCAACCCAAAAAATCGGTGATACGGAAAGTGTGTAACCATCTGAGCATGAACAAACCCAAAAAACTGCTAACGAGCCGAAAAAATAACACGAGTATCTTTTTTGTTTCCAAGAAGAACTTCCGCCCGTCTCGACCCATCAAGGCAGATGGGGCGTTGAAGTGGAATAATGCTGGATTTTGAGGCGACAAAGGACATATTTTGATGATTGGGAAAATGTCAGCAAAGATCATTTTGTGGCTTTTAGATGATCGAGAAAATTTCTCAGCTGGAACGAGGAAAAACTTTGGATAATTGGTTTTGGAAGTCAACCGATTTCGGCCGTTGATGTGGAAAAATGTGGGATTTTAAAGCGTTAAGGGCATATTCTGATGATCGAGAATATGTCAACAGAGATCAATTTATGGGCTTGAGTTGGTGAATCAGCTGCGGTAGAACTGAAGAAAGGGCGTATTTTGATAATTGTCAAAATGTCAACAGAGATCTTTCTGTGGGTTTGAGTTGGTGACTCAGCGGGAATAAGGCTGAAAATGTCGGAAAAAATAGCCGAGAAGGAGCGATTCTTGTGCGCTCCATGGTGAATTTTTTTTTAGTAAACTTGTTGATTTTAGAAGGATTATGGCTTATACGTTCAGTTTTAACTAGAGGCAATGCTCAGAAAATCAGTATTTAAAAAAAAATTCGCGTTTGGATAAGGACAGCATCGCAGTGGGCCAGGGATAAAAAGCCAAAAAATAGTTTCAGAAACACAAGTGCGCTCCACGGATAATGCAAAACTTTGGATAAGACGGGCACAATTCACCCTGAACAGTAATTTCATTTGAATCAGTTAAAATAGACCTTTATCCATAGAGCGCACAAGTTCTTTTGAAAATAGCCCTGGGATTTCCGCTGCAAAAATCTTGCCTGTCGCTTCATCTAGTCCACTATCTTGATTTAGAAAAAAAATTTTCTTCGTTCTAATTTTTCTCCGTTTTTCTTTATGTTCTTACATTTTTTCCGGTCTAAAAATTCAAAATCAAAAAGTCCGACCCCAAAAAGGTGGGTGACAGATTTGAAAAAAAGTGAAGGAAAAAAAATTGGCGCACGAAAGCGATTGGAGGCCCAACTAAATAATTCAAATCAACGGCAACATGCTCAAGTTGCACTCATTTTCTTCAGTTCTTTTTTTTTCCGTTTTCTTTATTTTCCCAGGTAGTTTTGTTGCTGCAAGGTGGAGGTTTCTAGCTGTTTTGGAAAAACTTGCAAACGATTGTAATTAAGTAATTATCAATTAAGCGTTGGATCTTGATGGGTGTTTGATCTTGCAGTTTCAGGGAATATGGTGATTCTTGATAAGGTTTGAAGTCATTTCGAGGCTTCTCTTGTTTTTTGAACTGGGAAGAGAAGCCAGTACTTTGAGGTTTTCAAGTATTTCTATTTATTTGAAGAGGCTTCGTTTCGAAAAACATTTTTGGAAGTTTTCGGTGAGATCCTGTAGAAGAATGGGTCTGAAAATGCACCAACAGAAGGGGAAAAATATCAAAATTCGAATATTTTTAAAGTTCAAAAGTTCAATGTGTACCTAACTCTTCAGGTGAATAAAAAAACTTCGAAATTTTTTTGCGTGATATTCAGGCTTGTAAAGTGTCCATTGAGTAAAGATTCAAATTTCTTTTTTTCAAAACTGTTTTTTTGAACTTACTCTTTAAGTTTCAGATTCAAAATTTTATCAGAAACTTAGATTTTTGGAGCATTTCTAGTTTATCTCAAAACAATATTTTTCAAAGGGTTTTTACCATGACGTCCCCGAAATCTGAGATTTCAACCCTATCAACGGCTTTTTTTCATCTTCAAAAGCGTGACGACAATCCCGACAAACCAAATGGATGGTTAAGAAACGTCGACATCTCCGCTATCACTAGAATGTTCCTTTTCTCCGTTTCGTTTCGACCTCGAACTGTATTGCTTTTCTAGCGGGTTTCAACGATTTATTGGCTTCTTTTCGATCTTTCTTTGAACTTTTCGGGACTTTTTGTTCTGATAAAGGTTTGAATATAGTCTCTTCTTTATCGATTTTGAGAAATTCGTCCAGGTTTTCTTCCGAACTTCTTCTTGGCTTTAAATGAGTTCTCTGAAGGTTGGAAGAATGTAGAGGTATGATCTACGTCTTCGGCTCGTGCTTTTCGAGACCTCAAAAATTTCAGGGCTTTTCGAGACCTCAGCGTCTTTATTGCTTTTCGAAACCTCAAAGTCTTCAAAGCTTTCAGAGTCCTCAGAGTCTTCGAAAAAACCTGATCACACGCTTATGCTTTTCTCTGACCGATCTGAGATCTAAGGGAGGATGAATGTATGGTCCTATCATGAAACTACGTCTTCATCACAAGAAAAAGTGTTATTCTAGACTTCTTCAAACATTTACGATTCTTCCTCTTCTTCTGACCGCTTTAGAGGTCCCAAGTCGAGACAAGGTCCTATCCTGATATCAGTGATAATCAGTGGATTGACCCTAGTGACATATCCGACCTTGTTGGAGATTCCGCTATCAAAACTTCTCAAACCTCTTGGCTGGATCGCGACGGGGATCGAACTTATGACCCTTTGAACCGTAGACAAGCACACAGCCTGTTGCGCTACGGCGCGACTTTCAAAATTTTCAGTCTAAAAACCTCATCACGAGCTTACGCTTCTGATTTGAAGGTTTAAAAGGATGAGAGATGTGAATTATATCATGAATCTACGTCTTCACCCCAAAAAGTTTTTTTCGAGACCTCAAAGTTTTTAAAAATGTCCGTCGTCTTTGCAAAAGCCTCATCATGATGCTTGTCTCTGTGCTCCAAGGACCGACCTAAAAACTCAAAGGGTGATAAATGTGTGATTCTATCATGAATCTACGTCGTAATCCCAAGAAATGAGTGTTTTTCAAGACATAAAAGTCTCCAAAAGTGTCCACTCTCTTAGAAAAAGCCTCATCATGATACTTGTCTCTGCGCTTCAAGGACCGACCTACAGACCCAAAGGATGATAAGTGTGTGATTCTATCATAAATCTGCGTCTTCATCCCACGAAAAAAAAGTGTTTTTCCTGACCTCCGGAAAATTCTCAACACACGGCTTCACCTGACGACTCCAACGATCAGTGCAAACGTTGAAAAATCTCCCAACGCCACCCTCTCTGCCACCTTCGCCTCGCGACGCACTTTTCCTCGTTTTCTCTAACCTCGGCCGGAGCCGTCATATCACCTTGAGCGTGATAAAATTTTCCGGAGGTAAAAAACACGCGCACCTGAGACAGATAGACAATGGAGCAGGCGGAGCTGAGGCGAGGGTGGATGGGCGGGGTCGGTGATCCGCTCATCTCATTACTTACCTGCTTCTGCTCGGTTCTTTCAGAGGTCAGACTTGTTTTTTGTGCCGTCTACCTGGCGAATCATCTCTTGGGAGAGCTTTGAGTAATTTTATCCTATTTTCTTGACTTCTTGCGAGGTTCATTCTTGAGCTGGAGATTCAGCCTTCTGATGATGAGCCGCGACTTCTTTCCACTCTCTTTATTTCACTTGAAAGGCTCCTTCTTGGATTTGAGATTGAGGTCCAGTTTGAGGTCTTCTTCAGCTTCAACTTCGAGACTGTCTCCTTGAGCTTGAAGGAGCTTCAGCTTCTTAAGAATGGCTTGGGTCTTTCAAAGGTCGATCTCTTTTTTCTGACGTCCACCTGGCGAATCACGATCTTGTCGTTGAGCTTCTACTTCTTGAGGTTGCCTCGGCTCTTTTAGATTTCTTTTTTTTTCCAGTGGTGCATTACTTGGAAGACCTCTTTTTCCTGACTTTCCTCGGAAGATACATTTTGAGCTTTAAGTTCAGCTTCTTCTTTATTCTTGCTTAATCTTGAAAATTTGCTCGAGTATTTTTTTTTCTGACTAATTGTAAGGTTCCTGCTTGAGCTTCAGTCCAACAGGAGTTGGAACTTATTTTTTCATGAAGGCCTTTTCGAGCTTTAGGTCTTTCTTCTGCCTCTACGTGGGATGTTCAGCTTGAGGTTGAGTTTGGAGTTGAACTTCAACTCGAAATAGTTCTCCTTGTTCTTCTCATTCTAGCTCTACTTGGAAGATTCCTTCTTCAACTTTCTCCGCCTGCGACAGAGGTCTCCTAGAAGAAGCTGAAGCCTTCACCTTCAGCTTCTTCTTGGATACCTCTGTCGTAAGCTTGAACTTTGGCTTCATCTTCATTCCGCGTTTTTTCAAGGCAACTTCCTTCTTAACTTACATAAAGATTTTTGTTGGTCCGTTTCGAGTTCTTTTTTTTTCAGTGTAACTTTCTTCCCCTCTATCTTCCAAATAACTTTCATAATCACCCATGAAGTTCAAGTTCACTCCCGCAATTTTCCACCTCAATCCAACGCGACTCGGCTACCGTATGGCTGGGAGAATACTTCGCCGAGAGCTGCACCTTTTTTGTAGTTTACTCATTTCGCCCCTTGTACTCTGCCATTTTGTCGTCGTTGTCGTCGTGTTTCTTCATTGTGTGTTTGTGTGCAAGTAGAGCCGTAATGAGAATTGGACAAGTGTTGAAGGGAGAATGGAGGCCAAGGATCGCTGGAAATCGTACATGTGGAGAGTGGTCTCGTCGGTTCCTCTCCAGACCAGGAGGTGCGATTTTTCGGGCTTGCAAGCACAACGAGAGCAGAAATGACAAGAAAACAATTATCAAAAACTTTTTGGGCTTTATTGAATGTTTATCCTGAGGCTTGGAAGTACATCTGGAGTAGAGGCTTTTTCAGCAATTTTCGGAATAATTAGGTCTTTGGGCTTTTTTCTGATACAAATTCCAAGAAGGTCTGTGGGAAAAGTTATCAGTGCTCAAAGTTGGAAAAAATCAAAAGTCCCCCCTGAAAATTAAAAGACAAAAATAAAGTTGAAAAATAAAATTGAAACTTCTTAAATTGCCGTGCAAATCCGTGTAATTATAAGCCTTTTTGGGCGATGGTGCTTGAAAAGGTTATGGTAGCGTTGTTGTTGCGTGAAGGTGGTGGTTTTGCAGAATGGGTAGTTTTGGAGCTTCTCCAAGTTTTTTTTGATAATAATAATCGTAACCTCCTTACCTGTGCATTATGTTAGTAAAAAAAACAGGCTGGAAGTTTGTCTCGAGATCTTTTTGGAGTTTGATGCGTTTTTTTCAATCGAAAAAAACGTTCCAGAAGAGATAAGATTTATAAAAAATATATATCCTCCTAGCCATAAATTTAGAATCCACCTTCAAATTCCATAGTCGGAACTTATAAAATGTCCTTTTCGACTCCTGAAAAGTTCTTAAAACTAATGGAATTTAGAACAAAAGTTGACTTTGCACCTTGCTTTGGAAAGTTTATGTCCATTTGGAGAAAAGTTCAACTAGGTTTTTTCCCCAGTTCTTTCGGTTTTTTCAGAGTTGTGATCTGGTTCCGAAAAGGTTACACACTACTGAAAATAGAATGAGGTTGAAAAGTCTGGCTGGATTTGAGTTTTGGAAGAAAACTTAAGGTCTGGATTTGGGAAAGAGGTGCGCTCAGAAGTTTCTGGAACCACGGGTGGGAAAGGGTTTAGTGGCCACTTTAGGGTTTTGATGTTTTGGTAGCCAGTATAGTAGTCGAATGAGTGGCCACTTGAGTGACCAAGATTTAGGGGCCTCTTCAGAAGTCTATATGGTACTGCAGAACCAATAAAATTCATCGTAATGACCAGTAAGACGCAAACCATGGACTCTGTAGAGGTGATTTTTGTGACTTCTTTAGTGTCTAGAGTTTTCCCGGAAAGACCAAAAATAATTCGGCTTTGGATTGAGGGATGAGAGACGTTTCCCGATAACGGTCTATATCCATTTAAAATCCGGCACCCCAAAAAAATCCGAAAGTTGCAAACTTTTCTCTGAAAAGCCGTGCACTTTCTTTCCTCCATTATTTTTCCCTCCTGGGAACTATAAAGCTAATGGAGGACAATTAGTAGAAGTTGTATGTGGGATTTTTGCGCGGAAGCCTGGTAGAAAAATGAGCCCTGGGAAGTGTCACACGGTGTAAGACTTGTCATCGCCGGCGGTTTTCGAGATCAATTTCGGGGCGATTCTCACGTCTTATCAAGCCCCTGGGAAAGGTTAGAAAGATACTGTGATTCGTGGGGGGAAAAACTCACACTCTCGAAACGAAGAAAAAAGAACACACTCACTCATCGGTTTTTTTTTTTCGTCTTTTTGTTCTTCGTTACGGGAGAGACGACGAGGAGACGTTTGCGTGTGATGTCTTCTTTTATTGTTCCGTTTTTCTGCTTTCAAATGCACTCATCTCATTTTAGAAAGGGTTATTCTTGGTACCCTCGTTGTCACTTTGTACTGGGCATTGGTCGTTTTTCGACACGATTTTTCGTAGTTTTGTGACGGCAATAATAAATATTCCGAGAAGGGGTTATTTCGGGCCTAGTAGTAGTATGGTGGATGACGTGACCCTCTCTTTTCGGACGACCGGTTGGAAAGGTTGAAGTTGGGCGGTGCGTCGGTTGGGCAACCGTTTGTTGATAAATGGCTGGTGGACTTACAAGGAAGATCATTTTACTCTTAGGTCGGGAATTTCCTGAAATTTGGCCAGAATAGTTCTTGATGCACCAGATGAAGATTCTGGAAGTCTCAACTTGCAAAACTTTTCAGATTACAAGAAATAAGGGTACAGAGCACCAAAAAAACTCGTTTTAACGGATTTGAGGGGAAATTGAGGTTTATCTGTGTAGGTTGAGACTTTCAGAACCTTCTCTCGGTACATCAAGGAATGTTCTGGCAAATTTTTAGTTAATTCTCAACCGCAAAGGTAAAGACCTTCTTTGTTGCGAACAGATTGAGATGGGTTCGATAGAGCGAATAGTTTCGATCTTGATTTGAAGCTTGGGAAAAGTCTTGTAACCGTTTTGTAACCTCAGCAAGCTTCAAAGGGGACTTTATGTTACTATTGGCTGAAAGGAAAGATAATCTTTATACGCCGTTGGGAATTTACTGAAAGCTGGCATAAATAAACTTTGAGAGAGATCCTGAATTTCACCTTTTTCAGAACTTGTGACATGTTGCTATTGAACTGAGGACAAGATTTAAATGGGTTCGATAGAGCAGATTAGTTCTCGAAGCTTGGGATAGAGGCTCCACTGGTTTTTTTCAAAATAATGTTTAAATTTGGAGGCTTTACCATTTTTTGAAGGTACCAAGTAAGAGCGTCGGAGTTCTCCTAGTGAACTCGAGAACTTACGGGGAAGGTTGTTTAACTTTAGTCCTGCAGTTTTACGAGAACAGGCCATTCTTTACCAGAAGAAGATCCCGAAAATCGCATCCTACATTAATAATAATAATTTATTCATTCACAAGGTGGAAAGGATGAGAATTTTGGGAAGATCGAAACTATTTCCATGAATTTTTCGAGAGAAGAAAGGGGATAGTGTGTTGAACCCTGGGATTTTTCAAAGATCATTGCCGACCGTTTTCGGAAATCATTCCACTATCACAGATCATGGAATTCTGCTGTTTATTCCCATCTTTTCCTCCCTCGTTTTAGGTGCTCCCTTATCCGAAAACAGTTTTGGTTTTACTGATAACAATATCGTTCCATTTTCGCGTCCACTCACCGTTTCAAAACGTCTTTTTCCCTGTCCAGCCAGACAGTTTGACGCTCTTCTTCTTTAAGGATTAAAAAAAAATGGGAAAAAATAGCCGCTGATTTTTCGCGCTCCGTGGGGAATCTAGCGAATTTTATCGAAATTTTGAGATCTCTGAGCGTTGTTTCATCCATGGAGCACATATGTGATCTTTTTTGTTTAAGCTATATTTACCTATTAACTTTTATCAATGGAGCAAAGTTGGGCCGTTTTTCGAGGCTCATCTTTCTCAGCTCATTTTAACTTAAGCTCCTCCTTTTAAATTTTATCAATGGAGCAACGTTTGATCGTTTTTTGAGGCGCATCTTTCTCAGTTCTCTTTCAACCTAAGTTCCTCCTTTTTTAAGGGTTTCCTGCATAAAACTGTTGAAATTTGCGTTTTAAAGCTTTTGAAACTGTCGATTTATCCATAGAGCGCAGATGATTACTATCCCAAGGCGATATTTTCCCAGCTTTTTTTTCACCTTTTTTTTTCGATTTTCTAGTGGGCATCACTTTCTGCTCAAATTTTTCATACGATTCCTAGATTTGTTGCCTAATTTTTCAAAATATTATTCTGTCGAGCCTCTCCTAAGAGTTACTCAGGGTGATCATTAGCCGATGGAGCACGAGGTTTGCGAAGTGAAAGAGAGGAGAAGGAAAAGTGGGTGGAGAGTGGGAGTACTGTTGCTGTTTGGCGGTGTTGCCACGGGCAGCAGCAGCAGCTCGGCTCTCGTGTGAAAACCCAGTCATTTTCTCTCCGCTTGTGGGTGTGTGCTCGTGTGTACGTGTGTGTGTGTGGCTCCTGGCTAATTGCTTCTAGGTTCCCGTCAGTATTCAATGTTGTTTGAGTGTTTGAGCTTTGTCTTATCCGTCTTTGATTTAGACTTCTGAAGTTTTACCGGCTTAAAATTCTAATATAGTCTTCTTCGAGATGATTCTGGTAACGCTACCAGGGTTTGCCTTGTCTTGCCTGTTTCCTTCTTTGATGAGGCTCACTGAGGTCTTACCGGCTTGAAGTCTCAATTTCGTAGCCGTCAAGATGATTTTTTGACGCTACCAGGCTTGATAAGTTCGGTTTGGCTAGAAAGGTTCAAGGTCCCGCTTCTAGACTCCCATCCACACGTTTTACACAGAGAAGATTCTCTGCGGAATCATTGAAGGCTCACGAAACTGTCGTTGAACAAGAACGTCACGTAGATCATCCCGTCCTTCTTGAGTTGGTAGTAGATGAGTTTGAACGTTCTGATATCAGCTGCTTCTCCATCTAGGCTCCGATCGGTACTCAGCTCTGCCTTCTTTGATCAGGTTCCCGGAGGTCTTACCGGCTTGAAGTCCCATTTCTTCATCTTGAAGATGAACCTGATAACTCTGGCAAGCTCAGTTCGCTCAGGATAGTAAGGTGAAACTTATGGGCTCTGGGTAGCTCTTTTTTGAGTTTATCTTACTTCGATTGAGCTTCTCGAGGTTCTTAATATCTTCAAGATGATTGTGGGAGCACTACCAGGCTTGATATGTTCAATTAGGACTTAATGTTCTCATTTTGAAGCAAGGAGTTTCATAACCAGAGCTTTAAACTGAGATAGTCTTGAAGCCTAATTTGAGCAATAGATCTTCCTTTTACGCTTTCTAACAAAGTCTGCAAAACTCCAACAAGTTCAAAATCCTTAACTTCCTCTGCCGCTTGCACTTGATTCGAACTTTCATCCTGAATTGGAAATCTTGGCTTTTCAGCTATCCTTGTCCTTTGGATCTCGATTTTTCTCTTCTGAAAGGCTTTTAGAGCTGGATTTAAATTTTGTTATAGTTGATCCTAGAAAATTTTTTCACTACATTTGATACTAATGTCTGAAAAATTTAACTTGAGAAATTTCGGCTTGAATCCTAAAAATGTCTTTCTACTTCTCCTGTTTTCTGGAATCTGGCCAAATGAGGTATTCGAAAATCCTGAAAGTGTCCTTTAAAAACTCCTAGCTTTTGAAAAAAATGCCTCAAAGTTGAAGAAAGTTATCAAAATTCAATAAAGTTGGCCATTTTGAACTAAAGATTTTTGCAGAGGCTTTTGAGATCTTCATATGAGGAAAAAGAGCTAATTTTCAAGAAGTTCCTAACCGGAAATTACAAAGACTTTCCTTATGGCTGAAAAAAAGCCAATTAGGGAACTTTCAAAAGACAATGGGCAAATTTCATAAAGGTCAGAAGCCTTTATTGAAGCTGTTTCATCTCAGGAGGCCTTTGGACTTCAAAAATTGAAAATTGAGAGTTTAATCTCCAGAAGCTTAACGAAAAAAAAAGATGAAAAATCGGTGTTTTCGGAGCTTGGATTGGAGACTTTCTCGCAGGCTACAATTACCGCTACTGATTCCCACCCTACAATTCCACCTTCTCACCAAGTTTCGAGTACACGGAACCTTTTTTCCCTCACAAGTTCACAGTTCTCTCATCACTGAATGATTAATTTCACAGCTTTTTTTTTCGAAGCTCTCAAAAATTCCGCGACTCACCTTTTGAAAAATTCATCTCCCACCCTCTATCTACTCGAAATCTACCAGGTGTTTCTTCAATTTACAACCTTTTTCTTCACCTTTCACTCCACCTGCCTCAGATTTTTTTCAATTCACTTCAAATCTACCTTGATTCGATTTCCGACGGAATCTCGTTGAGCTATTGGTGATCTTTCAACTGCGGCAAATGGCGCAAATTTATAAACAATTATAATATTCCCCCGCCCCCCTTTGAAACGGAGAGAAACTTGATTTTCGTCCTTCAACTTTGCCGATTTTAGCTGTGCTCCCTCTGAAGAAATGTAATGTTCTTATCAGCCCCCGTGACGTCATCGCCTTCTTGTCTTATCGGTAGAGAGATTTTTCGCGCGGTTTTTGTTTTCCAGAGGCCAACTTGGCGGATTTTTCCACCTTTTGACAAAACTTTTTGGAAACGTTAGAGCTGATAATGATTCGAGTTTTTGAACCTTTTCAGTAGAAAAGAGCCCGGTAAATTCATAAAATGACTTGATGGCCAGAAAAGAGATTCGGGAGATTTTTTTTTTATTCGAATCTACTCTTTTTTGACGTAGAGAGGTTTTGAAAGATTCGATTCACGATTTTGTAACTCTAAAAGGGTATTTCGAAGTGTTTTCACCGTTTTCTGGCCCTCAAAAGCTCCAGAACCCTTGAATTTTAATGGAAAGGTTCCAGTACCTTTTTCAGATGTTCTTGGGTTTTTTGTAAGGATCAGAAATCGTTTCGATCTTTTTTAATGGTTATGTAAGACCAAAATCACGATTTTAGAACTCTAAAAGGTCATTTTGAAGTGTTTTTACCGCTTTCTGACCCTCAAAAGCTCCAGAAGCCTTGAATTTTAATGGAAAGGTTCCAGTACTTTTTTCAGATCTCCATGAATTTTTTCAAATGATCAGAAATCGTTTAGACATTTTTTCCGGTTTTTTTAAGAGCCTAGAAGCTCATTTTGAAGTTTTTGTACCGCTTTCTGGCTCCAGAAAGCTCTAAAAGTCTTGAATTTCAATGGAAAGGTTCCAGTACCTTTTTCAGATTTTTCGGATTCTTTTAAAGCTCAGAAATCGTTTCGATCTTTTTTAATGGGTATGTATAGGGTCCGCAAGCCATTTCTTCAGAACGATTCAAAAAATATGTTTTTCACATTGTTCGATAGAGGAGACTGTCCATTTTCATAATCCGTTTAGTTTTTGAAAAAAGCTCCACTAAGAAAAAAGTTATGGCCAAAAAACTAGCGCGCTCGGCGTTCAACTGGAGGCGAAAATCTCACGGTTTACCCGCTGCCGCACGCTTTCTTTTTAAATGTTTTTACGCGTTTCTGGACCGTTTTTAAAGCGGTTTTCTGTTCTGAGAGGTTGTTAGATCTGAGCTTAACGTTTTTGGTATAAATCTTTTGTATAACTCTCATAAGAATTTTTTTGATAAAATATCAAAAAAACTACTTAGAAAAAAAGGTCAGAAGGAATTTTTCAGCTTATTTTTTTCTCTTTTCTAATCAGAAAAAAATTATTATCATTCGGTTTTGGAAGAAAGAAAAAAATGAAAAAAATGATGTCATTTCGAAATAAAACAGGAAAAAAAGTGCAATTTGACTCCGAAAAAAACGGCTCCTGCAACATTTAAAATGGCGCATCGGTGTGTTTGACGCAAACACAGCTACGAACGCTTGCACGAATTCTTCCAAAATTTCAAAAATTGCCATTTTTTTCGAGGTTTTTCAAAGCCGTTATTTTTTTCGCGTCGTTAGATTTTTTTCATAATTTTTTTCATTGATAGAGTTTTTGAACGCTTAATAACATAAGAAAAAAAGTATAAACGCGATCCTATTCTCTCATGCGTCAACGAGGCAGGCGAAAAAAAGGAGGTTTTTGGTAAAAATTCAAATATAATTTAATTCGCTGTCCCAATAATTATTTTTCATCCTGAATTTTTTTATTTTTTTGAACACATTGTGAGTTTTTTTAAATCAAATAAAAAAAGTATACCTTGTCGCTGAAGTTTTTTTCGCATTTCAGCTTCAAAGTTTGGTGTCACTTTACAAGCTTCGATTTTTCGCGTCGTTAGATTTTTTTAAAATTTTTTTACTCGAAAAAAATAAAGAAAGTGTTAATATATAACATACTCAAAATTTAGAAGCGTTCCTCACTTGCTTTTTCTGAAACGCGATGATTTTTATGAAACTTGTCAGTTTTTTTCGTGTTAAATCTTACTTTTTTTCGCTTATTTTTTTGAAAAAAAACATAGTTTTTTTAAAATATTCAGTCTTGTAGAGCGTTGTCGATTACATAGATTAACAGAAACAGTTAATTTTTAAAGTGGGACTTTAGCTAGTATAAACGCCTCAAAACCGTTTTTGCAACAAAAAAATCGTCATTTTGGTGGCGTGAAGGGGCGGGGCTTTGCGCCCCCTAGGTATGTAAGACCAAAATTACGATTTGAAGACCCTAGAAGATCATTTTGAAGTTTTTGTACCGCTTTCTGACCTTAAAAAGCTCTAAAAAATTCAAATTTCAAAAATCAAGGTTCCAGTACCTTTTTCAGATCTTCATGGATTTTTTTAAAGCGTTTCGACCTTTTTTTAATGGGTATGTAAGACCAAAATTACGATTTCAAGGCTCCAAAAGCTCATTTTGAAGTTTTGGTATCGTTTTTCGACGCTCAAAGCTGTAGGAGCCTTGAATTTCAAAAATCCAGGTTTCAGCAACTTTTTCAGATGTTCTTGGGTTTTTTATGAGCTCAGAAATCTTTTTGTTTTATTCTACCAATTTTGTGGACCAAAACCTAGAAGCTCATTTTGAAGTTTTAATACCTTTTTTCTGAACCTCCAAAGCTCTAGAAGCCTTGAATTTCAAAAATCAAGGTTCCAGTACCTTTTTCAGTTTTTCTTGAATTTTTCTATATGAAACAGAAATTGTTCTGTCCTTTTTAACCGATGCACAAGAAACGGATTGCAGTTTTAAGGCTCTTCTCAAATTTGAGAATCTTCGGAAACCTATTTCTAACTCGTTTCTTTCACGTAGTTCCAATAATTTTATTTTCGAAATTTTTCCTTTTTTTTTCGTCCAAGCCGTTTTTCTCCATGTACCGATTTTCCATATATCGATTGATTTTTTTTGTCAGAAAAAAAAAACTTGAGTCAACTCTGGGGGACCGAATGACGATGGTGGACAATGGGCTGAAGCTGGCGTACGCGCGCGGCGTTCGCCGCACCGGATCCGCGTTTTTCACCGTTTCGCCTTCTGTTTATGGGTTTATACATTATTGATGTTGTAGCCCAGTGGTTAGGGAATTTGACTGATGTTCGAGGAGTCCTTGGTTCGAGTCCTCTCGAAGTTTGGAAAGAATTTTCTGCGGTGGTTATTGTTTTTGCTTATAGTTATATATATAGTGAGAACCTTAGTTAGGTATGTTAAAAGTCTGGCTTAGTGGCTTAGGCGAAAAACTGACGCGAAAAGGGTCACTGGATCGAATCCTCTGGGAGTTAAAAAATAGAAATTTATTATTTCAACTCCAAATCAACAGTTTTATCAGAAATATGAATTCTACAAAGCATTTTTTGATACATTTCAAGCTTCTAACCTTCAAGATAATTTTTACCATACCGTAGTCCGCTGGTTAAGGTATTAACTGTCGCTAAAATGGTCACAGGTTCGAGTCCTCTCAAGGATAAAAACTTTTTGCCAAACTATTTTGGACGACTGGAAGTTTTATAAAGAGAGTTATCGGAATTTTTCTCTTTTTATGAGATAGCTCAGAGGCTAAGGGTCTTGTATGTAGCCAAAAAGGTCACAGGTTCGAATCTTCTTTAGAAAAATTTTTTTTTTAACTTTTTTTTTTGGAAAAAAGTGAGAAAAAGGCATGTTTCTAATCGAATTTTTCAGATTCTTTTGTGAAATTAGAGGCTTGAAAATTATCACTTTCCTTAAACAAAATGCTCTAGATAACGGTTGAAATAATAACAAGTTTCAAAGGTGCTAATTATTTTACAAAAACACTGGAAACCCTAGTTTTCGGAGCCGATAATTAAACGGGTAAATTGACGTTTACCTTCCGCCTCTGAAACGTTTTGTCCTTGGCTTGGGGTACTCACTTTTTTTGATTTTATATAGGGGTTATGGAGAATTTTACCATTTGAGAAATTCAGGATGATCCTGAAAGACTTGGAAACGGCGGACAAGGCGATGAAAAAGGAGCCGGAAGAGACGCCGCCGTCTTCGGTTGACGCGTCTCCTTTGCAGGTACCTTTTTCGAAGTTGAAAAATTTTTTTGGGGTACTTTAGAGATAATAATAATCGAAAAAAAGCAAGAAAAAACAAAGAATGTTGTGCAAAAATCATGGGAACTTATTCAAAAGCGTTGGTGTTTCGAAGTGATCCCTTGAGGGGTCGTTCCGAACTCCCTCAGTGACTTCTTAAGGCAAATCCTGAGAAAGCAATGTACCCATGGAAGAACAAAGCTTGAAAGCTCTGGTTTTTGAGGCACTCGTTAGTTCCTCATAAAAAAATCCCTCAAGTGATCATTTCCAACTCACTGAGTGACCTCTCAAGGGATACCTTGAGGCCGAAGTTTGAAAATTGGTGTTTCTTAGAAACCGCTTAAGATGCCGGGACTACTCGAGTGATATAAATGGAGATCCCTTAAGCGGTCATTTTTGAATCCCTCAGTGACCTCTCAAGGGGTATCTTGAGAGCCATGGAAGGCCAAGTTTAAAAATTGATGCTCCACAGGGATCGCTCAAGGTACCGTGACCATTTAAGTGAAATATTTTTGAACATGGGGATATAAAAAGTAACCCCTTGAGGGGTTGCTTCAAATGCTGTCAATTACCACTCAAGTGATTAATTTTCAAATAGAGTTATATAAAAAGTGATTCCTTGAGGGGTTCTTTCAATTGCTCTCTATTACCACTTAAGGGATTTTTTCAACACAAAGATAATGAAGTTAGACCAAAGTTTGAAAATTGATCTTTTTCATAGTTACCCCTTAAGATAGCACTTAGAATCCTTGAGGGATTTTTTCAGTTGAAAATACAGAACAAAAAAGGCTGAGTTTAAGAAGCATAAGTTCTCAAAAGCTTCTTTTTTCGTTTGACAGCTTGCTTCGAACCAGAAAATCGGGACAATTTCTCCAGCTCGAGCTAAACCTCAACCAGTTCCAGGTGCACATCCCGCCGCCGATCCTGCCGCCGGGACTGCCGCCGCGAGTCTCGTCGGCGACTTCGGGCGCCCCGTCGCCGTACGGATCGCCGCTGGGCGCTGCGTCGCTGCTGCCGCCGGCAGCACTCGCCGCTCATCCGTCGCTGCATCACCTCAACGGCGACTTGTCGCAACTCCAACCGGGAGCCTTGGATTTCGCCGCGGCGATCGCCGCCGCCGCCGGTCATCAGAATGGCCAGACCGCCAATCTGGGTGGTGGAGGTCCGTTTTTTTGGTTTTGATGGGGATTCTAGTGGAGAGTGTGACTTTGTGATACAAATCTAAGAAAATATAAGTCACAAAAAGGCCCAAAAAAAGCGATATTGTGTGTAGTAAGCTTTCCAATACGTAAGCGGTTTATTTGATCTGCACCCGACCCCGAGCGACTTCCGCCAGCTTGAAGTAGGCTAAAGTGCAAATTTTGAGCTTCTGACTTGAACCACAGTGAGAGAGCAAGCCGTTGAGCCATTCCAAATGCTACCGACTTGATCGAAATCCTGCTGAAATCACCGTACTTGATTACATACGTAATTTCAAACCCCCCGTCGAAATTTGGCTTGATGAGAGGGGGTGTTTGAAATTTTTTTCTTTTTTCAAAAAAATTCAGATCTTTAAGATCATTTTTAAATAAATATGAGGCTTTCTTCAAGTTCGAGACAAATTTTCATTGAGAAGGACTGAAAAATCCAGAAAAAAAAAACAAAATTTTCAATATTCGGCTAATACCTTTCACTTCACAGGTAAATCTTCCGAGAAAAACAAAATTCAGGATAAAAACCTTGTTCCAATGATCTCTAGGCTCAATCCCCGGAAAACAAAAAGTTTTGTAGCAAAGCGCGAGATTTCCCGCCGCTCTTTACAATTTTCTGTAGTCCCCGTTGATTTTGTACCGATGTTATGCTGGCGTTGTACAATTCTGATATAATGTAGCGGATCTTTTTCTGAGAACTTTACTGGGAGCAAAGAACCCAGGAAGTTGGAAAAAAGATCATTCTTGGCGTTCTGATCTTCCAATGAAGTTTACTGTAATGGGAAAATTTTTAGTGGCCACTATAGAGGCTCGCCAAGGACTACTTGGAGAGGACACTAAAGTGGCGACTAAATAGAGAACCTCTATAGTGACCACAATTTTCCGTTTTAGGGACCACTATAGAGGTTCTATATTTAGCGGCCACTTCAGTAGTTTTTCATCCAGCATTCCTTCCAGTATCTCTGATAATTTGAAAAAAAAAAAACAGATTAGACCAGTTATGTTGACCCATTGACCCCTCAAGTGGCCACTAAAATTTTTAGTAGTCTAGTAGTAACATTTAGACCTCTATAGTGGCCACTAATTTTTAACCCCTTAAGTGGCCACTAGTTTGGCTACTACAGTGGCCAATAAAACGTCAAAAACCCTATAGTTGCCACTAAAAATTTTTCCAGTAGAAAAAAAAAGAAATATATAGAATTTTTCGGCAGTTTTTTTGACTCAATCTAGATTTCAAGAAAAATAAGTTCATTTTTCGAATAAAATCGAAAAAAACGAGAGTGAGAAAAAAAGCAATAAAAAAAACGTAAGTACTTGACGAACAGTTGGCCGCGGTGTCGCGTGTTTTTGATTTTTACTCGCCTTGGGTTGTTTTTCCCAAAGATTCTGGTTTTTCCGAGTTTCAAGTGTTTTTTTCTTGAGATTAACTATAATTTTAAGCGAAGAACCCGAGTTTTATTGCAATTTTTGGTTTATTTTGAAGCGCATTTTGAGTTTTGAATAAAATATTCCAAAATAACTCAAATCAGTTCGTCAGGTTTGAAATTTCGAAACTTTTCTCTTTTCAAATTTGGTTTTGAACTGTAGGCGCCACTATAGGGGGCATTCTGACGTTTTTAAAAATTCCAGAAGGGTCCCTATAGAGGTCAGGGGGAAAACAGCCCATATAGGGGCCAAAAGCTAAGTCTCTAAAGCCTAAGTGGTCCCTATAGGGGTTAGGGGAAAAACAGCCCCTATAGGGGACGAAATAGTGCTCCCTATAGGGGTAAAAACCAAATGTTACTATAGTTGTTCGAAGTCTTATACATAACCCCTGAAAGCCTAAGTAGTTCCTATAGGGGTCTTTCAATATTTTTCAGACGCCTCTCTAGGGATCACTCTGGCGTTCCTAAGAATCTGTGCAATGATAGATTTGACGTAATTTGATGAAATTTCAATCGTAGATAAGAAATGATCGAGTGATTTCTGATCCCTCGGCAATGGAGGTCAAATCAGCCGTTGCGATTGGACCCGAAATCTATCTTGACGTATCCTTTTATTGACTTTTTTCTTCGCCTTTTGTTTCTTTTTTGGATATTTAATTAATGATTTGTATTTGAATGACATTTATATCACCTCTAGAACCTCTGATTTCTCTCCTCACTTTTTCGGAAAGATTTATTTTTTTTTATCTTGCCGGTGAGAGAAAAGAGGGCCCAGACAGGTCAGAGCCCTGGCGAAACCTCGAAAATCCAAAGTTTTGACGACCTCATTTGTGTTAAGAAAAAGAGTCATTCGATATCAGTGACGTCACTCAGGAATCCTCGTCACAACGCAAACAATAGAACGTTTTGCAGAGACTCTTTTATTTATTCTCATTTTTCCTATTTTTGTCAATTTTGATCAGTTTGATTAAATTGGAAAACAGTTGAAAAATGATCCTTTTAAGGCTTTTTTTGGATCTTTTCGTGAAGGTTTTCAAAAAATAGTGCTGGGAATGAGCTGAAAGACAATTTTTTGATTTTTTGATTTTTTTAATATTTTGATTTTTTTTTAAATTTTAAATAGATTGAGCGTAATTCAGTCAAAGAATCGTCGAAAAATTTTTTTTTTTGACCTTTTTTGGACTTTTTGAGCAATTTCTTCATAAACATGGTACTGGGGATGAACTAAACGATCAAATTTTTAATTTTTGGATTTTACTCTTTTTTCCTTTTTTTTATACGAGACTGAGCATGATTTAATCAAAGAACCGTTGAAAATAGTCTTTTATACCTTTTTTTGAGTTTTTTGAGAAGTTTTTTCAAAAATGTAGTGCCTGTGATGAACTAAACGATCAACTTTTTGTTTTTTTTTAAATTTTAGTTTCCATTTTTGGACGAAATTGAACATAAGTTAATCAGAGAACCGTTGAAAATAGTCTTTTTTACCTTTTTTCGAATTTTTTTGAGCAATTTTTTCATAAACATAGTACTGCTGATGAACTAAACGATCAACTTTTTGACTTTTGTTTTTTCTCATTTTGCCGTTTTTTCGGCTTTAACGATTATAAATGATTAATTGATAGTTGAAAAAAACCAATTTCCCGGATTTTTTCGAATTATTTTGTCATTTTTCAAAAATACAGTGATGCGAGTGAACTCGACCATTTTTTTTTTGGTTTTTTTGAAAAAAGTAATCCGATTGAATAGTATTACGATTTTGTGAATCGGAAGTTTTTCTCTCACTTTTTTTCTTGTTCTGTTTTTAGTCTGAAACTTTGTTTTTTTTTTTTCAGAAAACTGAGGAAATTATTTTTTTCCATAATGAGCAAAACGAAGGCAAGAGATCAATGGGAAAAAAATTACATAAAAAAATTTTTTTAAATCAAATAAATTTGGTTCGAAAAAAATACAGTATAAAGTTGTAGTTAAAATAAATATATTTTTTTCAATAATTATTCCAATATCTTTTGAAACTGTGAATTATTGAATTTCATTTCTTTTTTTCTCAATAAAGATAAGCTGCACGACCCAATAAAGCTGGCCGAAAACTATGTCGGATCCATTTTTTTCATATTTGATTGATGTCCAACGTCTTGTTTCTCTGTCCATATGATAAGTGGATCGATTTTTGTTCAGCTTCTTATTTAATTTATCTTTTTTTGGCTTCTGAAGGTGGGTTTTTTAACTAATTTGGGTACCCCGATGAACTGAAAAAGCTAGAAATTGCGAATTTCGAAATCGAAACGGAGATTTTTCTTGCTGAAAATAATAAAAATTGATTTGAAAAGACAGAAAAAGAGGTAAAAAATCTAACAGTAGTAATTTTTCTCTACAAGTTGTGTATTTTTCGGATTTTTTTTTTGAATTTCCATTGTTTTTCGACCCTTTTTTTTCTGTACAAACTTTAAAATTGGCTTTCTACGAAATTTGTGAACATTTTCACCTTTAAAGTCGATTTTGAAGCTTGCTCTATCGTTTATCATTGATAAAACATTTTCAAAAGCAATAAATAGCCGGAAATCCGAAAAATATAAACGTTATCAGAACTTTTGACGCAAATAAATACAATTTGATCAATCAGTTTTTGCAAAAATTGATGTGTGAGGTTCCCCAATGGGGAAAGGTTCAGTGATAACCACGAGAAAAATCGATTTTCCCGTGAGCGTTTCGACTTGTGACGCGGCGAAAAAGAAAAAGAGAGAAAAAAGAAATGACGTCGTTTGGCGATTGTTGCACCTTTCCGCCACGTTTTTGAGCTTTTTTTTTTTTATTTTCAATAAGGGTCGATTGCAAAAAACGCTCACGATTTTTTTTTTAATTTTTTTCAGCTTTTAAAATGAATTTAAGAGAAAAAAGGCTCTATTGAGGTTTCAGAAAAAAATCATAGTTGTTGATTAGGAAAAAGCTGAATTTTGGGACTTTTTTAAGGTTAATTTAGGATCGAAAATTTCATTAAATAAATAATTTCTATACTTCTATAATTTTTTTCAATGGGTCGATTGCAAAAAAACGCTCATTGACTTTATTTTTTTGAATTTTTTTAGCTTTTTCAGATGAATTTAAGAGAAAAAAAGAGGTTCTACTGGGGTCTCAGTGAACTTATAATTGTTAATTTGGAAATGCTAAATTTTTAGTTTTTCTGGTTGATTTAGGATCGGAAATTTCATTAAATAAATAGTTTCTATATTTTTTCAGTGGATCGGTTGCAAAAAAACGCTCACTGATTGTACGGAAATTTTTGAAATGCTGTTGATTTTGAGCTTTTGGTTGCTTTTAAAAATAGAAAATCTGATTAAATAGGTCTCTGTAAAGATTACTAATGCTTCTGCAGGAAAAAAATTCCACTTTCGACTAGAAAAGGTTAAGTTTTAGACTCTTCTTCTGTTAGTTTTCATATATTTTTGTCGATTTTTGGATCGAAATATTCATTTTTTCTGAAGGTTTTCTATGATTTCTAGAAGTTTTTCAAACCTACAGAAGCCTCCCTAACGAATTTAGTAATATAAGAAATTTCGAAACGCCTAAAATATCCAGAAAGAAGACTTGGAGGTTTTGAAAAATGCTGAAAACTTGAGAAAATGAAATTACGCAGTAGTTTCAAAAGGTCTTGGAGAAAAAAAAAATCTGACCCAAAATACTGAAAAATATTTTTTTAAATCAAATTTTTGACTTTTCTAGGGAGATTTTGATCTAAAACCAAGGTATTTTTCTGTCTTTTTCAATTTTCAACTTTTTTTGTTCCTCTCTTGGCTTTTTAAATCTTTCTAAATAGCTTTTTTTCAGAATTTTTCTGACCGAGAAAATATTTTAAAAAAAACGGAAAGTTTTTTCGATTTTTTTGATCATGATTTTTAACGGATTTTTTTCGCTTTTTTTCAAAGTTTTAACTTTTTTTCTTGTATTTGCACTGAGTTTTTATCTTTCCAATAGCCTTTTTTGTAAATTTTTGAGCCTTCTGACCTCTATGAGCTTTTTTTTCGACTCAATAGAGACCGATTGCAAACACTCGCTCACTCCTACGCTCACTGATCGAATTGCGCGAAAAAAATCTTTCCGCGTGTGTGTGTCTTTTTGACTGACTTTCGGGGTCCCGTCACTGAAACGCTTCGTTATCAGTGATTCTATCAGTGTTGCCGCGAAATTCGGCCCGAAACACTTTTTTTCCCGTACATTTTGTATCTTTTTTCGCCGTTCCGCTATCTTTTTGTAGAGTTTGTCGGTTTTCTTTATCATTTGTCGATTATTTTGAATTTTTTTTTCGCTTGTTTTTGAAGGAGCATGATACATTTTAAAGTAAAAGGTCTCGAGGCGAAGAGCCTTGCAAGATATCTGCGTCTTCGAAAAATCCTGGACAGGGTTTTTTTCGTATAATTTTTTTGGACAAATTTTTTTCCTGTCGTTTGAAATTTTTTTGTTTCTAGGTATTAATATAATAGAATAAATATCTGTACAATTTTAAGATTGAAAAATGTTTGTAATTTTTTTCTCGGTCTTTTAAAATCATGCCTTGATTTTTTTGGACCTTATTTCAATAACTTTGTGGTATTTCAATTGGATTTATTTGCAATTGGTAAGGTGTTTTTGAAAAAAAGCTTCAAATTTTGCTGATTGCTCTGATTTTTCTTCGAGAAAAATTTATTTATTTTTTTATTTTTTTATTCGAGAAAATTCAAAAAAATTTAATTCTCAGTGGTTTTTGAATGAAAGGTCTTTTTTTCTGATTCGTCTTGACTTTTTTTCTGTAATTAAAACTTTTTTTTGAAGAAAATTTTTAGCCTGAGTTTCTTAGGAACACCAGAGTGGTCCCTACAGGGGTTAGGGGGACAATAGCCTCTAGAGACGACGATGGAGTGGTCCCTTTAGGGTAAAATTCGACGGGCCTCTATAGGGGTTAGAAGTAGAATGAAAAATAACGTTAAACGACAAAAGCTCCCCTGAAGGGGTCACTAACCAAAGCCTTTACAGGGGCAACTTTGCAAGCTTTGTTTTAAGGGTACCTCCAAGGGTCCCTAATATCGCCCCTATAGGAACTATCCAACGTACCTAAATAAGATGATTTTTCAAGTGAGAAGCTCTAAGTTAGCCATTCCAAATGCGGTATTTGTGTCCACGGTGTATTCCTATTTTAATTGCGAAAAAGTTTCAAAGTAGATTCTTTTGTCTTATTGCGATTGTGATCTATTTCCTATTCCAAATTCATCTTTTTATGTCCAAAATCGAACATCGATCAGTACCGAATTTCAGTCTCGACGCCGAGCGGCGCGGGACCGTCGAACGTGACGCAAGGACTTCAGATGAACGACGGCGGCGTGTCGTCGGCGGCCGCCGCCCACGTACTCAAGCCGTTGATGGACCCGACGGCGTTTGTCTCCGGTGAGCCGCAAAGTCAGTCTTGTGTCGATGTTCTCCCTACAAGGAAGGTCATTTCACTTGGGAATTCCCTGAAATCCGTCCAGAACACTTCTTGATGTACCAGGTGAAGGTCCTGAAAGTCTGAACCTTCAAAATTTCCTAGTTTTTGGATCAGGATATTTTGAGAGTACATGGAGACCTTCTGAAGCCTGTGTTTTTTTTTTTTTGCGAAATCTAGTCATTTTGAAACGATAAGTCGTCATTACTGGAAAACCTGGATTTTGAAATTTCCCGGATTTTAAATTGGTACATTGAAAAGTGGCCGATTTTCAGGCAAAGTAGAATGATCTTCCTGTTATAGTCAATTTTGCCGATTTGAAAGGCGAGATGGGGTAAATTGGCAAGCGTGAAGCGTTGCGTATGCGGCGCGGTTTTCGGAGGGAAAACTCGAGATTTGAAATTATCGAGGAAGAAATAGAGCAGAAGTTTTCATTCGATCAAGTGGATTCAAGAAGTATAAACGTGTAGTTGATCAAGTGGATTCAGGAAGTCCAGACATGTAGTTGATCAAGTGGATTCAGGAAGTCTAACGTGTAGTTGATCAAGTTGAATCCAGAAGTCTAACGTGTAGTTGATCATGTTGAATCAAGGAGTCTATGCGTGTAGATGATCAAATAGATTCAAGGAGTCTAGAAGTGTAGTTGATCAAATCGAACCAAGAAGTCAAGACCTGTAGTTGATCAAATGGATTCAAGAAGTCCAGACTTGTAGTTGGTCATTATCAAAGCATGGTCTTACGGCCCTTTGCCTCGTTCTTTTGCCCGTAGTCCATCCAGTTGCGCCCTGACGAGTTCAGAAGGTAGCTGAACACCTAGCCGTACCCCAGACAGTGTTCTTGGCGAAAGTCTCGCAATGAGAGCAGCCACTTTGAATGAAGTTTCTTGTTTCTTACCAAAAAGGTGCTTTGCTTACGCAAAAAATCGCCCCTACCATGCCGCCATTATCGCCTTTCTATTCGGAAAAACTGACTTCAGATGACTTGATTTAAATGGTTAAGATTCAGACTTTACAGACTGGCACTCGCCGCTGCTCTCCGGCTACAGCAGCAGTCCCTCGCCGACGATGCCCGGCATGGGCGGCGGTCGGATGGGACTCATGCCCGGGGAGGACGATTCGAATCGGAAACGACAGGTCCGACTTCTCAAGAACCGCGAGGCCGCCAAGGAGTGCCGGCGGAAGAAGAAGGTAACCAGAAACTGAAAACTATTTATGAAGGAGGATATCTCTAAACCTAGACGTTTGCACAGACTTAGGAGTGGTCCCTCCAGGGGCAATCTTGAGGACCCTTAAGGGACCACTTCCACTGCTAGAAAGCTAGCCAAAGTGATCTCTATAGGGGAGCATGATAGTAGTTTATTGACATGAACTTGATGAGAAGAACCCGTATGGACCCCTTGAGGGACCCCTATAGGGGCCACTTAGGCGCTTCTAGGACAGCGACTGTAGGGTTCGATACGATGTCCATTGATCAAATTTGCTGAAAATCCAGGAAGTTCTTTCTTGACCCCTATAGGGACCACTCTGGCGCTTCTAGAACAGCGACTATGGGGTTCGATAGGTGCCTAGGAACCCTTGATAAGAAAATCCCCTTTTTTGTCAGATTTATTTTCCCATCTAACTTGACTCTTCTCTCTTCAATGCTGTGTCGATTTTACTATTTTCTAACCCAATAAATGGTTCCAGGAATACGTCAAATGCCTGGAAAACCGAGTCGCGGTGCTGGAAAACCAGAACAAGGCGCTCATCGAGGAGCTCAAAACTTTAAAAGAACTCTACTGTCGGAAGGAGAAGAACGAGATGTGATCCTCCGACGAGAAGATGAAGCTTCTCTGTACAATTTGTTCAAAAAAAAAAAATATCTTAATGTTTGAAAAATCAATATGTAATTTCTCAGCACCCGTCCGTCTTCCTCAAAATTTTTCTTTATTTTACTTAGGCAAAATCAATGATCACCTCAAAAATATGAATTTTTCGAATTTTTTTCTATGATTTTGCTGTCCCCCACCCTGTGACAACATTGCGGAGTTATTTTTGAAATGTTTTTTGGGCTAGAAGTGATTTTTTCACTGGCCCCACTTGCAATGTTTTTTCCGTCGTTTTGGACCTTTTTTTCTTGCTGGGATAAGATTAAGTGAAATAGGCAATGCCAAGGGTCGCAAGTCGGTTTAGGTCGGGCGCAATTCGAAAAATCCGCTAGGCGTTGAGCCATTCCATGTGCGACCTTTTTGAATGAAAAATAGGTTATTTTGGCTCTTTGAAAGCATTTTGAGCTTTGAGAAACCATGCTTAGGAACTTTCTAAGTGGTCCCTATAGGGGCAACCTTAGGAGCTGTTGGAGGGTCACCTCTAGGGATCACTTTGCCAACTCCCATAGGGGCCACTAAAGCTTGCAAAAGTGGGGACCACTTTTTTCGGGGCTTTTCCCCCCTAACCCCTACAGGGACCACTCTAAATTTCCTAAGTAGAAATCGAAAAAAAATGTAGAGGAACTCTCATTGGCCTCAAATATTCGAACTCCCTCTTGAGAAGCCCCTAAAGGGTTCTTTAGCTTTTAAGGGACCTCTCAAACTTCAAAAACCCTCAAGTGACCATTTCATGATCTTATCCCAGCGTCCTCAAACCATATCAGTTCCTTATCAAAGGGTCCAAATAATTCAAAAAACAAAAATCTCCTCGATTGTATTGATTCGATCCCCCAAACAGTTCAGAATAGACTTTCTTCTTTTTCCTTGTTCTCATTTTGTTGTTTTCTTCCAAATCTCATTTTTTTTCCGTATTTTTCGTCTGATTGTGATCGATTCTATGGTATATATATATATATTTTGTTGTTTTTTTCAGGTTTTTTTAGAACTTTATCCTCGAATAGTTTCCAATTTCTTCCTTCTCCTGAGTTTTTGCTCCGTTTTTTGTTCAAAGTTATTTATCGATTTTATTTTTTCGCGTCGTCTTGAAGACCAATTTCATCGCCGACTTTGTATCGTTTTGCCATATTTTTGTGTGTTTCTTGAAAGAAAAAGTGAAAGAAGAAATAATACAAGTCCAATAAAAAGATTGCATATCACGTTGTTCCCAATCATTTCAAGAAGTTTTGTCGTCCCGAAATGGCTGGTCTACTTTGTTTTGTGACGATTTTCTCATCAAAGTGTACTTTTTCAGAAGCCCCGCTCGTTTTCAAAGATGAACAACTCAAAAAAAGAGTGCCAGCGCTTGCAAAAAGTATCAGATTTTCGAGGATTTTTTTGAAAAAAATAATTTTTTAAGCGAGTTGGACTCGATCAAAATGCGAATTTACCCACAAGAGTGCTCCGTTGAGAAAAAGGCCAAAACTGTTTTTAAGGTTTTTTTTTTTGATTTTTCCACTTTTTCAACAGTTCTCACTAGAGGAGGCTGAGTAAAATCACTGAAAATCAACTAAAAAAGTCGTTCCGAAATGAAAACTCGATTTTTTGAATAAAAAAAGAAATTTGGCCTCTATTATCAAAATTTTGACTCAAAACTTATTTACAATTTTTTTATCATTAGAGCGCATTAGAATCGTAAAATGAGCCTTTCAAAGTCAAAAAAAGTTGTCAGTCTTACAAAAAGTCGCACCCCTAAAGAGGCCGGTTTCGCGAGCTCTAGTAGCCCCTATAGGGAAACGTTCAAGGGCCTAGGAGATCGCCCCTATAGGGACCACTCTGGCGTTTCTAAGGTCTGACCGAGGACCAATTGAGCTAAAGGGACTAAGAAGCTAAAACCTAAAACCCTATGAAGTCAACTTAAATTTCACCCCTATAGGGACCGCTTTCCCTTCCCCCATAAGGGTTGCATTTTCCCTAACCCCTATAGGGACCACTCTTGCGTTCCTTTTTTCTCTGACCCCTATAGGGACCGCTCTGGTGTTCCTAAGGTCAGACCGAGGACCATTTAAGCTTCAGGGACTAAAAGGTCAGAACCTAAACCCCTGTAGGGATAACTTTAATTTTCCCCCTATAGGGACCGCTTCTTCATCTCCCATAGGAGTTGTTTTCCCCCTGACCTCTATAGGGACCACTCTGGCGTTCCTAAGGTCTGACCGAGGATCAATTGAGCTTAAGGACTAAGACGTCGGAACCGAAACCATTATAGGGGTTTCATTCCCCCTAACCCCTATAGGGGCCACTCTCGATCTACCAAGTCTATTTTATCATTAGAGCGCATTTGCGCTTCTGAAAATGTCATTTTTCTGAGAGATTTTTTGAAATTTTTGAAATTTCCAGCACCGTGTTCACAATGACAGTCCGATAGATGTGGCTTGTCGGGTGAGGATTATTTTAAATCGGTTTTTTTTCGAATTTCAATTTTTGAGATAAGGAAAACGTTTGAAAATTTTCATTTTTCATGGGAGGAAAATATTATAAGCTGAAAAATGACTTTAAAATTGAATTTTTGGGATTTTTTTAGAGACTCGTAGCTGGGGAATAAATTAGAAAAAAACTTAATTTTTTTAAATCTATTTTTTTATTTTTTTCGTGGTGTAAGCTTTCAGATTTCCGCCACCTCGCCTGAAGTATTCGTATCGGATCGCAAGGGATTTTTCGTCAAAGCTGGTGGTTTCCAAGATTTTCAGGTCATTTTTTTGTTGTACGCATAATGGGTATCACTGTAACGTCTGCGATTTTGAGCTATTCGGAAAAAATTGTCCGAAGAAAATTATGGAGTCCCTTAGAACTTTTAAAAACACTTAGGAAACCGATACCAGAAAGGTCCCTACAGGGCCAACCTTAGGGCCCTTGAAGGCTTCACTCTAGGGACCACTTTACATACGTCTATAGGGGACAATAAAATTGTAAAAGTGGCCACTTCAGGGGTTTTTATCTAGTAGCCTCTATAAGGACAAATTTATTGTTTATTTCAATTTTTTTCTCTTTGAGAAAAATTTGGCGCATCAGCTCTTTTTGAATGAAAAACTATTAACAGCGGAATAAAAAAACGTCTTTTCAATCTCCAAATCTGAACAAAATAATTGAAAGAGCTCTATAGGGACCACTTGAGCTAGAGAGCCTTAGGAGGTCTGACCCTAAACCCCTAAAGGGACTACTTAACACTGGGCTTTCTGGAGAGCTTTATTTAGCTCCCACAGCTGCTGTTTTTTCTTCTGACCACTATAGGGACCACTGGAGTTTCTAAGATGTTTGGAATCTGCTCAGAAAGCCTTACGTGGGAAAAAGAAATTGGATTTTTAAAATTTTTTCTGTTGTCTAGTAGTGTTCTATTGAATTTTTTTCTGAAGTTTTTAATTTTTTTGAAGATTTCTTTTTTTACCGGTTTGAGGTCCAAACTTTGGCTCTTCGACTAACAATTTATGAATATATGAACAATTTACTAACAATTTATGAAGCCCAAAGAAGGAAAAAAATCAACGATTTTTAAAAAGAAAAAAAATTTTTTTCTAGATAAAAAAAAATTTTTTTAATTTCTTAATGAAAATGCTCTAAAATATCGTTATGTGTGTTTTAAAAAAAGTTTGGAGTCGATCCGTCAATTAGGAAAAAAGTTAGAAAATTTCACTAAAAGTCCTACCGTAACCCAGTGAGGGGCGGAGCCTCACAGTAACTAGCCTGAAAGTTTACAAATTATGTCTAGTAACTGAGATAATAATTTTAAGTCTCAAAGCAAAACTTGAAATTCTTGTACCAAAGGTACATCGAGAACGTGTGTTAAAATCCAAGACTTTAATTCCTGAAAATACATTCGTTACTGGCTACTCAACTTAAGATGGCCAACTGGATGTCGGCTCTGCCCGAATCGCGAAAAAAAGCACCTTTCTCCACCTTGAAAATACCTGGCTCCCACAATTCCGGAGCCTACGACCTACGTGATGACCTACCCATGGCCAATGATCAGAATTTCAACGTGACTGTCCGTCAGATGGGCACTTCGAGATTCGTCCGGAAATTTGTGAAGAAATGGTCGGAGACGCAAATTTTCGATGTCTATGAGCAACTGGAAGCTGGAGTGAGGTATCTGGATATCCGACTGGAGTTGATGATCGACGAGAACGGCTGGATGGAACTGATGCTCGTCCATGGCCTGTACGGCCCCTCGGCGATGAGTTTCTTCGAGAAAATCCGAACTTTTCTGGATTCCCATCCACAAGAGGTCGTCGTCCTCGACATCAACCACGTCTACACCATGACTTCTTTGGGCTTCATCCAATTCGTCGTCCAAACGCTACTCGTCATCTTCCCTCCCGAAATCATCTGCCCGACTCAATACGACTTCGGCAAAACCTCGCTTCAGGTGTGTTTATTGAATCTTCAGCCGTTTTCAAAGTGATTTTGGAAAATAACTCGGGCCTCGGTAACCGGACGTTTTTGCCGTTCTAGGGATCACTTAAGAGTTTTGACGACGCTAAAGTGGTCACTAGAAATTTTGAAACGTCCGGTTTGCGTTACCGAGGTATCTGCGGACGATTCTGAGCCGTTCTAGGGATCACTTGAGAGTTCTGACGACGCTAAAGTGATCACTATAAGCTCAGAAACGTCTTGTTTGTGTTACCAAGGTAGCTGCGGACTTTTCTGAGCATTTCTAGGAATCACTTAAAGTACTGACGACGCTAAAGTGGTCACTAGGAAGGATCAGAACCGTTCGGCTTGTCTCACTGAGGACACCGCCGAAACTTTTGAACGATTATAGGATCACTTAAGAGTTCTGACACCGCTAAAGTGGCCCCTAGAATCCCTCAGAAAGGTTCGGCTTGTCTCACCGAGTTCACCACGGAAGCTTTGAGCGACTCTAGGGATCACTTAAGGGTTCTGACGCCTCTGAAGGGATCAGTAGAGGTTTAGAAACGTCCGGTTTGACATACCAAGATAACTGCGGACTTTTCTGAGCGATTCTAGTGACCTCTTAAGGGACGTCAGAGCTCTTAAAAGGTGTGAGTTGCTCGGATCTTCTGAGCACTTCTAGGGATCACTTAAGTGTGCTGAGACCGCTAAAGTAGCCAATAGAAATGTTTGGGAACCTCCCGTTTGCGTTACCAAGGGGCCTTTTTGAGCGATTCGAGCGACCACTTAAGTGTTCTGACTCCACTAAAGTGATCACAAGAATATCTCAGAAAGCTCCGGCTTGTCTTACCGAGGTCGCCGTGGTGTCTCTGAGCACTTCTAGGGATCACTTGAGGTTTGGACGTCACTAAAGTGGTCACTAGAAGCTCAGAAACTTTCGGTTTGGGTTACGGAGGTCGCCACAAACCTTTCTGAACTCTTCTTGGGATCACTTGAGGGATGACGCCGCTTAAGTTGTCACTAGAAGCTGAGAAACGTCCCATTTGGTTACCAAGGTCGCCTCCGACGTTTTAGAGCACAGTATAAATGAAGTTTTTCTGCACAATCGCACCCTCTCGAGATCAAGAAAATAATATACTTCAGGACATCGTTTCGAAAGGATATCGATTGATTATCGTCGGACCTTATCAAGAACCGATGGAGAATGTCATCCACGAAACGTTGATCATCCACAATCCGTGGCCTGACAAGAATCGCATCGATGAATTAGTCGCCGCCCTGAGACTGGAGCTTCTGCAGCCGAAACCCGAGAAGATCCACGTCCTTCAAGGCGTCATCACTCCCCGGCCTGCAGATATCACCAGAAATATGTTCTCCTCCCTGAGGGAAGTCTTCTCGGAGAAAGCGACGGTTGCCACCCTCGACATGATCGCCAGGGATCTGAGCCAGGAGGAGAGGAAGAAGATCAACGTCGTTCTTCTTGATCAAGTCAACCATCAAGTCGCCTGGAGCATCGTCAGACTCAATTGGGAATAATAAACTTTTGGACTTTTTTCCGGGTTTCGAGCCTTTCAATCTTTTTATGGACAAAACCTTGATGAAAATTTTTTTTAGTAGTGCTTTAAAGAAATCATAATGAACCGAACTAGTCGCACAGTGGAGGAAAAATACATGAGGAGCTTAGGATCGCCTTTGTGGTCTCTAGAGGGGCGCTTGAAGGCTCCCCTTAGAGACAACTTGACCTCAACCTTTAGGGGGTACTAAATCTTGTAAAAGTGGCCACTCTAGGGAAGTTGCTAGTCATTTATTGGTATGAACACAGTGAGAAGAATCACTTTAGAGGGCAGGGGGCGCTAAAGCTTTCAGAAGTGGCCACTCTAGGGGTGCATGCCAGGCGTTTATTGTAGTGAACACTATGAGAAGAATCACTTCAGGAGGCTTGGGGAGCACTAAAAATTTCAAAAGTGGCCCCTATAGGGGAACATGCTAGTCGTTTATTGTTATGAACTCTATGAGAAAAAGCATTTCCATGTGAAAAACTCAATAAATTAGCGTTTTTTGAAAGAAAAATGATCAATTTTTATTGAGCGATGTTGAAATCCGAAAAAAAATAAAAAACCCCTTTAGGGACCACTTAAGCTTCAATAGGGCTAGAAGTCAGAACTTGAATCTCTAAAGAGAGCTACTAAGTCTGAGCCCTCTAGGGAGCACTATTTTGTCCCCCATAGGGGCTGATTTTTCCTCCAACCCCTATAGGGGCCGCTCTGGGGTTCTTAAAAACGAGTTTGGGGTTTCTACTGTAAATTTCCATGAGAAGGGAAGGGTCGAAAAAAGGCTTAAAATAGATAAACGTGGTATAAGAGTTTTTTGAAACTCGAGCATTTTTGAATTGGAGTTTGAATTTTCCGTGGATTTTCTGGGACATTCTTCGATCTTGATGGACTAATTCTCATATTGAAAATATTTTTTGACGATCCGAAATTGAAAGAATGAAGATTGCAGATAACTCGGCTAGAATCTGCGCCACGATCCCATCGGATAACCGTTCAAGTTCTGCCGAAAAGTGCCAAAACTCCCTACAAGTGCTTCTGTGAGGGTCTCCCGCCTCGTCGGTTCAACATTAGGTTTCTTTTTTCCCCCTTATTATGAAATTTTTCGGGAAAGGACTGCTCAAACCTTGAGTCTCAAAAAATCGAAAAGAACTGAGTAATTTTAAAAGTTTGAGCTCTTTTTTTTTGGAAAGCTGAAGAGTCGGGCAGGTCAGAAGTTTCAGGATCTTCATCTGGTACCGAAAGAAGTTTCCGGTTTCCCTAGGGTATGGTCTCCCCTGAACATCGAGTTAAGAATTGAGACTATGTGGGTTTGATAGCCCTGGGTTAGAGGTCTCGGAATCAAAAATAGAATTCTGCTAAACCCTTCAGGCAACCGAGAAAAAGCTCGTCGAAATTTTCCCAGCGCGTATATGGCCGCGCTCGGAGCCTTCGGCTAGCAACTGGCGGCGTGGTATAGTGGTAGTGGTCTCCCGCAGCTTGTCAATATTGTGACCAGGGTTCGAATCCGTTTGGCAGATTTCATTTTTGCCGGCTTATAACTTCATCATTTTCACATTTTTAAGAAAAATTTTTCAAATAATTACACTAAAAAAATTTATGAAAATGACTATAAAAAAATATAATGATTGCTAAAAACTCTTTCTTAAAAAAAATTTTTTTTAGGTGTACAAGGCTAATGTCAACTACCTGAACAAAAATCGTCATATTTTTTTAAATTTGCAGAAAAAAATTCACCTCCTGAATTTTTTTAATATCGAATTTTTTTTGTTTCCATCAGAATTTGTACATTAAAAAAAGTAGAAAAAAAATACTTTTTAGCAATCATTATATTTTTTTATTTCCATAAATCTTTAGTGTAATTATTTGAAAAGTTTCTTAAAAAAATATGAAAATGATGAAGTTATAAGTCGGCAAAAATGATATCCGCCAAAAAGGATTCGAACCCTGGTCACAATATTGAGAAGCTTCGAGAGACCACTACACTACGCCGCCAGTTGCTAGCCGAGCGCGGGTATATACGCGCTGGGAAAATTTCGACGAGCTTTTCCTCGACTGCCTGAGTGGTTTAGCAGAATTTTATTTTTGATTCCGAGACCTCTTATCCAGGCCCATCCACCCACAAAGTCTCAATTCGCGACTCGATGTTCAGGGGAGACCATACCCTAGTCTGAAAATTCTCAACTACTCGTCAAAAAAAAAGTTATTGAAATCAGACTCACTCGTAATAAGACGAACGAGTTATGATGTGCTCTACCTTGACGAAATCGGGTCTTTTTTTTTGTCCCGATCACACCTCCCGATCAGATCACATCAATGTTCACTTTCCTAATTTTTTCTTTTTTTTTTGGCCGTTCACCTCATTTTTCAAAGTTTCTCCCATTTCTTTAATTTAAAATTTTGCGCCTAGACTCTAGTTTTCAAGCCCTTTTCAACCAAAAAAAGACTGGGCTTTTTTTGAAGAACGATTTCATTTTTTTATTCACTTTTTTTCAAAAATATAAGTTATAATTTTTTTCTTGATTTCTGGAGATCGCAATGAAAAATTTTCATTACATGAAATTTCTCTTATTCATTCAAGGCTGGTTTTTATAAAGCAGTCGATTTCTCAAAAAAAAAAACTGTTGTTCGAGGTTTTTAATTCCTAATTTACTATAAAAGGTATTGTCGAAATTCTTTCTTCAATTTCATAAGATTGCAGAATTTTCCAGATATCATGGTCCCCGGCCTGGCGAAGAAGCTCTCCGGAGGTCGATGAAGCCCAGAAATTTGGGCGAATATCCGAAACTTCAAGGGACAAATATCTCTTCGCGTCTTGCCCCCGACGCTAAAAATCAGGTATTTTTTCTTAAATTATGGATATAGTCCATTCGCCGCAACCTGAAACTTTCTGCCCGTCTGCGTCTCTTTGTTCTCTCAACTGCAAGGTCAGAGAAACATGAACATAGCACGTCAATAGGAGAGGGACGTCGAGAGATAAGGAGGGCGCAGAGAAACGCAGAAGGAGTTTTTCTATATGTATAGTTTGCTGAAAAAATTCGTAAATCTTGAATAATATTGGGCTCTTCGTCTTGAGACCTTCAGGAAAAAAATGACGATGCGCCTTTAATAAAAAATTTCGAGCTAGGCTTTTTTTTCATAAAACGTTCTTCGAATGGCGTTGTTGCGGAGCGGTTTTTGACGGGAAATAAAAATTTAAATGCGCGATTTTTGAATTTTTGTTTTTCTGGTTTTTAGTCATGGTATTGGAGCTCGAGTTGAATGCTTTAGACCATGAAAAATGCACCTTTTTCAGACTTTCTCACGCTTTGAATTTTTTTTTTCCCGCCAAAAATCCGAAGTTCTTCAAGTTACTACTGGGTTTCATTGGATTTCCATTTCAAAAAATTATTTTTTGGGGAAAAAAAAACTAACTTTTTCCCGATTTAAGATGACTTTCAATCAATTATCAACGCTGGAAATGGCATTCTCATTGGGAATGGAATCTTCGAGTGCGGAGATACATAAATAAATCATTTTTTTAAAAAAATCGTTTCGCTTTTTGGTTTTCGAGGGGATAATAATTGAATAAACCACTGAAATTTAGTTTTTTTCAAGTTTCAAAGTTGAAAAATTAAAAAAAATTTTTCCCTAATTTTTCACGTCTTTCCGTGTTCTTTGTGCATTGTTACAGGTGGAAAAAGGTTTTTTTCAAAATTTTTCCACCTGCTTCTTAATCGGAAAAATGTCAAGGTGACACAAAAAAAGAGCGTGATTAAGATCAGAAAAACCGACTTCAGAATTTTTTTTTTATATTTTGATGATTTGAAAGCTGACATGAAAAAAAAAGATGGGTTGGAGAAATTGGAAAAAAGAAGTTTAGAATTTTTAGTTTTGAAGTAAAAACAGTCCCTATGAGGGCCGAAAAAGTGGTCCCTATAGGGGTTTAGAGTCTGACCCCTTGGTCTCTTAACTTTAAATGGTCCCTAAAGGGGTTTTTTAACTTTATTTAAGCAGTCCTTATTTATATAGTTTTTCGCATGGAAATGCATCTTTGCTCGAAGTACATAAAGCATATCGATTAGCATGTCCCTATAGGGGCCACTAACTAAAACCCCTATAGGAGCCCCTTTTGCAAGCTTTAATGGGGGAGATACAGTGGCCCCTAGAGAGGAAACTTCAATGAACTTATAACTACCCCTACAAAGACCACTAGGGCTTTCCTAAGTAGCTTGGAACCAGGATCCATTTTCTTGAATAGTTGTTTTTTGAAGCTTTGAAGATTTTCGTTTCCGACGCTTTTCTAGGGCTTTTTTCAAGTTTGAAGGCAAAGTGAGATAATTAGATACTTGGCGAGATTCCTTGAAGGAAGTAGAATTTAAAAAAATGTTTGTAGTTTACTTAAAGTCACTTTTTTTTGACACATTTAGGGTTTCCAGAGTGGACCCTATAGGGGCAACTTTAGGGACCCTTGGAGGATCCCTTTAACCCCTATAGGACACAAGCTAGTCGATAACTTTCATAAATTCTAAGCGGGAAATGATTTCCATGAGAAAAACTGATAAATAAGAGTTTTTTGAATGAAATGTGGAGACCCCTTTAGGGTCCACTTGAGCTTTAGGGGCTAAAGGGTCAGATTCTAAACTCCTTTAGGGACCAACTTAATTTACCCCTATAGGGACCACTCCGAACACTTTTAGGAAAAATTATTTTAAAAAAGTTTCAAGATTTGAAATTTTTTTGGTGCGGCATCTGAATGCAAAGCGGGCGCGATGTGTTTTTGGCGCGAATTCGAAATTTTTCGAATTAGTAGAGTTATCTAGTAGAAATTCTCCTAATTAATCTAATGGGGTTCTTAAAGCGCATTTTTAAGAGGTGATTGATGTGATATCATTTTTCCTAAAAGAAAATGAGACCGGAACAAGCTCTGAATGGTCGAAATTCGCGTCAAAAAAGAATCACGACTATTTTGCATTTAAAATGCGGGTTCCTTACTTTTCAAGTTATCAAAACGGACACTTTTCCAAGCTTACATGGTTTTAGGTGCAAAGAAACGTATCAAAAGTTTATCTAGAAAATTTACAAGAACCGTAAAAAGACCGAAACGATGGGTAGGATGATCCAAGTGGCGAAGGAGGATTTGGTCGTGGTTTCCAAGCCGAGAGGAAGGGCGTTGAGAAGAGCCCCGGCGTCGATGGATCCACTGGAATTGCCAGAAAGCAGGCCCCCGGTCAGCCCGGGAATCCCGCCTTTGCCGATGTTGGCGATTTCTTCGGGCGACGCTTCGACGGGCACCGGGACCGGCTTCTCCGTCGGATTGCCCATTTCTTCGATCGGCGGTCGGAGGCCAGGTACTGTAATTGGGGGTTTTTTAAGGGCCTTCAGGAAGTTGGAACTGGGGTCTTGGTAAGGCGCGGTGGTGGCCCGCATGTGTCCCAGCACTTCTAGGGATCACTTAAGGGTTCTGAAGTCGCTAAAGTGGTCACTAGAGCTTATCGGAAAAGTCGAGGCGACCTCGGTAACCCCAATTGGTGTTTCAGTACTTCTGGGGATCACTTAAGTGTTTAGGCGCTGCTAAAATGATCCCTAGACGCTCGGAAACGTTCTGTTTGCGTTACGGAGGTCGCCGCGGACGTTTCTGAGCAATTCTAGGGACCACGTAAGGATTCTGAAGTCGCTAAAGTAGCCCCTAGAAGAGCTAAGAAAGGTCTGGGTACGGAGGTCACTGCGGAAGTGTCTCTGCACTTCTAGGGATCACTTCAGGGTTCTGCGGCCACTAAAGTGGTCACTAGAAAAACTCAAAAACGTCCGGTTTGCGTTACGGTCGTAGCCGCGGTCGTTTCTAAGCGATTCTAGGGACCACTTCAGGGTCTGAATTCGCTCAAGTGGTCACTAGAAATTCTCGGAAACGTCTGGGGCGCATTACCAAGATCCTGGAAATTTTGAATATTTTAAGGAACTTTATTGAGCTCTACTTTATAGCGAAAACTGGAAAAATTACGTTTTTTTAAGTTCAGTACGATTCAGCCGCCAAAAATTAAGCTATTTTTAACTGGGATTTTTAAAGGAGCATGGCAGTTTTTTTCAAAAGAACTCGAGACGAAGATCCGTATTTTTTGGGACTTTGGGCCATGAGAGACTTTCAAGCTCTCAGGGGCCAAGTCGAAAAATCAGGGAAAATTTCTAGTAACCACTTAAGGGTCTTGATGTTTTAAAGGCCACTATAGTCGTCGAGTTAGTGGTCACTCAAGTGGCTAAATTCGAGTGGAGTCTTTAGAAGTCTCAGGATACTACGAATCCATAGAAAACTACTATGGTGGCTACTAAGAAGCAGAATATTGGTTTCTATAGAAAAGGTTCCAGTGGCCACTATAGTGATCTCTCCTAGTAGTCCTCGCAGAATCTCTTAAGTGGCCACTCGAGTTTCTAGTAGAAGGGATTTTAACACACCAAGAAACTAGTATTTCTAAGACAAACCTGAAAAAACTACATCAATCGAAATAACGGCTAGAACAACTGAAGAAACGACCAACGAAGATTTCATCTCGATTCCTTTCCCGGCCCGGGGCAAAAGCTCAGAATGAAAGATTGAGAAAGTTCAGGCGGCTCTGAAAAAAAAAAAGCAGCTGCTTCTCACTTCGAAGGAAATTTCAGGTTTCCTCGTGATTAGGTGTTTGGGAAAGGTTATCTGAATAACCCCATCATTAAAATGAAAACGAGAGTTTGGTTGATTCACGGATTTGATTGGGTGTTTAGAAGGATCATGAGGGGGATTGATAACATGTTTATTTTGAATCAAGGTTTCTGTTCTTTTCAGCCTGTTCAGAAATCCGGACTGTGGTCTTTTGAAGGAGCATAGATGCTAAAGGACGCCAGAGTGGTCTCTAAAGGGGTTCGGGGGAAAAAATCCATGTAAGGGACAAAGTAGTGCTCCCTATAGGGGTTAAAGATCGAAAGCCACTAAAACTGTAATGGTCCCTATAGGTGCCGTTCAATGTCTTCTTATAGATTCAAAGGTTCAAGACAAAAATCAACTAGCACGTCCCCTGTTTGCAAGCTTTAGTGTGCCCTTTAGGGGAGGGTAAGGCGGTCCCTAGAGGGGAGACTTTGAGGACCCCTCTAGGGACCACTCTGGCGTTCCAAACCCCATAGCAATGACGCTTGGGGAGCGGGAAATCTTCGGTAAACCCCCTAAGATTGCCCCTCTAGGGACCACTCTGGCCTTCTTGAGCGAGTTTGAAAATGTGAGCGTGTTTGGGTTATATTTAATAGACCTTGGCCATCTCGCTAGAGAATTTTTAGTGGAATTTTGGGAAGTTTAGGCTTATCAGATGGAATTTTTCACGTTGGTTCCGAATATAGGCTCAAAAATTGCTGAATTGACCTAGGAAAAAAAAAATTAGAAAGGCTTATAGTTGCAAAAATGGTCGGCCAAGAAATATAAGTTCTGCTCTTCGGAATGTGTAGATCACGTAAAAAAAATTGCCCTTTTTTTCACTTATAAAGGGGCTTGAAATACAAAATTGTCAATTTTTTTCGTGATCACCAGGACCAGGTCTATTAATCATGCAAAATTCAGCTCAATCGGAAATGATAAATTTTTTTCTGAAGCTTTTTCAGACCGTTTGGAACATTACAAGAAAAATTATTTTACTTAAAATTTGGGAATTTCCTGAAAATTGGCCAGAAAACTTCTTGATGCACTAGAAAAAGAACCTGAAAATTTCAATCTGGTAGATTTCTTAGTTACCGAAAAAGGAGACCTCAAAGTCGAAGAAAACACTCAAAATTCGTTAAAATAGGCTATTTTGGGACTTTGATTACTCTTTCTTCAAAAACTAGGAAGCTGGGTAGGTAGAGATTATCAGAGTCTTCTTTTGGTACATCAAGGAGTATTCTGACAAGTTTTCGGGAAATTCCCAACCCAAAGTGAAATGAATTGTGAATTGAATTTAGTGAACCTAGTCTTTTCCAAAAAGTTCAGACCTAGCAAGAATTTTCTGAACAGGCTATGAATTAAAGAATGAGAAGACAAACCTGAAAAGCTGTACTGAAGAAAGGCGACGGAAGAAAAAAACTAGGTAAAAATAGAAGAGGAAAACGGAGGAACGGCTTCGGCTCAAGCGAATTAATTGAATTTCGCCCCGTCTGTGTTCCCCTCTTCACGCCGTTGTTCGCCTTTAATTGGCACGTTTTGAAGTTTTTCGAGAAGAAGGCGTTTGTTGCAGAATTACCACCTGAAATGTGTTGATATTCACGCTGAGGAAGTCGGGAAACATGCAATTTCGTAGGTGAATAACACTGGAACAAGCTCAGAAAACGAAGAAAATATACGCAAAAATACAAATTATTCGGGGGTATGAAAACAAGATTAGCGAAATTTGCGTTGGCGAACTTATCGAAGACCGCGAAATCGCGGGCGGTGTATGCCACCGTGTATGCATACTGTTTGCGCAAAAATCAATAAACACCTTTCCGACGGAACTTTTTCCGACTTTTTTTTTGCCTCTTTTTTCAAATTTTTGGATTTCGTCACTCATTTTTTTTGGTTTTTCCTGTTATTTCATCTTTTCCATCGCATTATGATCCTCTGGTACGCATTGTTCCTAATTTTTCTCGATAACAATATATTTATCCGATAGGAAACGATGTCAATGAAAAAAAAAGATTTGGAAACAACAAATTTATGGACTATGGTGAAATAAAAATGAAATAAAACAAGAAATTGGAAAAAAATAAGAAATGACACGAGAAGAATGTGAAAGATTTAGGAAATTTTTTTGATGTTGCCCGAAACGAAAAACAATAACTTACAGATTTGTAGGAATCAGCGTCACTCAAGTAATCAAGCATGTCATCCAATGTTTCTCTCACAGCTCTTTCTTCTTCACTCATTCTGTAATTGAAACGCAGAAAAAACTGTTATAAACAATGTTCCAACAGCCATCACGACGAAAATTATTTCCAAAAAAATTTTTTTTTACTTCAAACAAAAATTGAGGTCTTTTTTTCCGATACAAGGATCATAATGCGATGGAAATGATGAAATAACAGAAAAAAAAACAAAAAAATGAGTGACGAAATCCAAAAATTTGAAAAAAAGGCAAAAAAAAAGTCGGAAAAAGTTCCGTCGGAAAGGTGTTTATTGATTTTTTTGCGCAAACAGTATGCATACACGGTGGCATACACCGCCCGCGATTTTGCGGTTTTCGATAAGTTCGCCAATGCAAATTTTGCTAATCTTGTTTTCATACCCCCAATTATTCATGTTCCTTGGTAGATTATTATAGTAAGGTATCATCTTTGAACACCTAGATTTCTTACCAAAAATAAATGAAAGAGCACCTCAAAATAAAAATCTTAACGATTGTAGGAAATAACCATCTTCGAACATTCTCAGCAAAGATTTTTGAAAAAAAGCTTAATTAAAAAAAATGGGTTACGGTAGGTCAAAAGGACGCAAACACACGATGAACTTTGGGTATATGATTTCACGCGCTTTTTTTGCTTTTTGAGCTTCGCAATCGATTTTTTTGTAATTTTTCGGGTTTATCAACTTTACTAGAGTAAATACAATAAAATTTAAAAAATCAGTTTTTTTGCTCTTACAAAAACCTTGAATTTAATGCGGTAAAATTTAAAATTTTTGAACTTCATTTTTGTCTGTCAAAAATGAAAATCTGATAATTTTGTTTTTTTTTTTATTAATTTATACTAATGAAACTTATTTCAGAAACCTCCAAACAAATTCGAAAAAGCGCCAACTAAAAGATGACGACCGGTATTAATAAAGGTCCAAGGGTACGTTTTTTTTTTCATGTTTTTTTTTCTTTTTCCTTTTCCGATTTAGGTTCTGGACTTCGATTTCAGAGGAACTTGTGTAATATTTCATATTTTTCTTCTGGTTTTCTAGTATCTTTCGGACTTTCATAGTATGATACAAGAAGTCGGCCCGAATTTATTGTGTGCACACCCGCGGAAAATCCGCTTTCCACCCCGCCAAGCGGAACGGCCGCTCAGTAGAAGCTCCTCTATGCAAATCAAGTTCGACTTTTGCACTTTATTTGAACTTTTCTGATTTACTGTTCATATATTCTAGCTATTGTTTAAAGGAGCATGGATCGATTTCAATCAGGGTCTCGAAGCTTCTTTTTAGGCCTTCCTGGGCTTCCTGAGGTCTCTAAAAGGAGATTTGGCGCTTTTTCAGCTCTCAATTTTGATTTTTCCGAAGAGATATTTTTTTAACTCGATCGGGTCCGAACCAGTGACCCTTCGAGCGTTAAAAAGAAGCCTAACCAAAAAGTTTTGGCTCTTTTTGAGGCATCAAATTTCCTCAAAAAGAACTTTTCTGATAAGAAGTCAGAAAAAAGGCCCCAGGAATGTTTTATAAAGGTCTTTTCAGGTTATTTTGGGCTTTCTAGGACTTTGGAAGAAGAAAGAATCTTCTAAAAATAAGCCTTTTTGATAAAAACTCATGAAAAAGGTCCTTGAGGTTGAAAGCTTTTTTTAAAACCTCAACTGGATTCGAACCAGCGACCCTTCGGACGTTAGAAAGGAGTTGAAAAAAAGAATTTTGGCAACTTCTTGGGACATCAGACCTTCGGAAAAAGGCGCTTTGAAGGACTGTCGAAATCCCTTTTTTAAAAGCACCTTTTCGGGAATTTTTTACTTGGATTTCGCCCGTGGTAGTTTTTTTGAAAAGATCAACCTCAAAAAATTTGAGAAAGACTTTCAAAAAACCTCAGCTGGACTCGAACCAGCGACCCTTCGAACGAGAGAAATGAGTCTTACAGGGAAAGTTTGACAACTTTTGAGGAATCATATCTTCTTTAAAAGGAACTTTTTTGATAAAAAGCCAAAAAAGGCCTTTTGAAAAAGTTCAGGTGCCTCCCGACTTTCGAGGATTTTCCAAATGAAATGGCATCTTCAAAAACTAATATTTTCAGCTCTTAATTTTGAGTATTCCGAAAAAATTTCAAGCTGGATTCGAACCAGCGACCCTTTGAACGTTAGAAAGGGTCGGTTTAAACATTTTTGGCAACTTTTGAAGGGTCGCGACATCGGCTCCCGACCGCGAAGAATAAACGGGACAAGCTTCAAAAAAGAAGCCGCCACAGGAATATGATGATTTACGGCGCCGCCCGTATTTCCGCACGTTTTGACTTTTGGTCGCCCCCCTCCTTCTCTGAGCCGCGGCTATTATTAGCGCAATTTCGGGCAATTTACCTGTTGCAAACAAATCCGCCAGGTCTCTCACCTGGTGCTGGTGTCAAATTGTCCAACCCGAGCCGCCCGTTTTCTTTTGATCATATTCTTCCTGCCAGCCTTGTTGCCCATTCCATTCTTATTGTTATTGTGACCAGCCGGCTTTTCGGCTTTTCACTTCAAAGGATTTCCTGAAAAGGAAGCTTCAACGGAAGATTTTGTCGTTTTTATTCGCTTTTTTGGTCTGAATGAAGATTTCGAAGGCTTTTTAAATTTCTTTAGATACTCAGGAACGCCTGAGTGGCCCCTGTAGGGGTCAGGGGGAAAAGGAGCTTCCTGAAAGGCTGAAATTTAGGGGTTTAGGACCTGAATTTTAAGGCCCAAAGCTCAAGTGGTCCCTATAGGATTTTTTAAATTTTTTGTTTGGATTCAAATGTTTGAAGACCACTAGTATTCTCCTCTAGAGTTCCCGCGAACTAAAGCCCCTATAGGGGACACTTTTGCAAGTTTTAGTGGCCTCTTTAGGGAGAGGCTCAACTTTAATCGGCTATTCTATATGTTGTTTTGACCAGCCGGCTTTTCGGCTTTTCACTTCAAAGGGTTTCCTGAAAAGGAAGCTTCAACGGAAGATTTTGTCGTTTTTATTCGCTTTTTTGGTCTGAATGATATTTTCAAAGGCTTTTAAATTCCTTTAGATATCTAGGAACGCCTGAAAGGCCCCTATAGAGGTCAGAAGAAAAAAGAGCTTCCTTAAGGGCTTAGGGGTTTAGTACCCAACTTTGAAGCCCTAAAGCTCAAGTGGTCCCTATAGGATTTTTTAAATTTTTTGTTTGGATTCAAATGTTTGAAGACCACTAGTATTCTCCTCTAGAGTTCCCGCGAACTAAAGCCCCTATAGGGGACACTTTTGCAAGTTTTAGTGGCCTCTTTAGGGAGAGGCTCAACTTTAATCGGCTATTCTATATGTTGTTTTGACCAGCCGGCTTTTCGGCTTTTCACTTCAAAGGATTTCCTGAAAAGGAAGCTTCAACGGAAGATTTTGTCGTTTTTATTCGCTTTTTTTGGTCTGTTTTTTGGAGGCTCTTCAAATTCCTTTATATTTCTAGGAACGCCTGAGTGGCCCCTATAAGGGTTAGGGGGAAAAAGAGCTTCCTGAAGGGCTGAAATTTAGGGTTTAGGACCTGACCTTAAAGCCCTAAAGCTCAAGTGGTCCCTATAGGACTTTTGGAAATTTTGTTTAGATTCAAATGTATAAGTGCCACTAGCATGCCCCTCTAGAGTGCCTTTTAACTAAAGTCCCTGTAGGGGCCACTTTGGCCATTTTTATTGGCCTCTTTAGGAAGAGGTAAAGTGGTCCCTAGAGGGGAGCCTAGAAAGAGTTTCGGGGTGGCCTTTGAAGATTTTTCTGTCTTTCATAATTAATTATTTTTCGATTCCGTTTTTTTTTCAACTTTGAGCGGTCATTCTATGTTATTTTGACCAGGCTTTTTGGCTTTCCGCTTCAAAGGATTTTTGAAATGAGTTGGAATATTCTTCAAAGGAAGATTTATTAGTTTTCATTGGCTTTCTTTTTTTGGCTAGCTCAGTGAAGATATTTTTTGAGATGGTCTTTGAAAATAGTAGACTTACAGCTTTTAATTAACCTTTCAACTTTTTCAGGAAATCTGACATCTCTAGTTAATATATTGAATCTCTTTGAACCTTTTTCCCTTTTCTGAGTTTTTTTCTAATGATTTTTTTGGTTTTTTTAATGTTCAATTTATAAAAAAAGCAAAGTGACATGTCTAAAAGATAAAAAGTTATTGAAGTCCTCGAAAAGAAGTCTGTTTCTACTATCCATTTGGTATTTTTCAATTTTTTGACTAGGTATTTTCATTTTTCGAATCTCTGGCATTTCTCACGAATTTCGCTAGTTTTCTACTTGGAGTTCTAAGCACTCAAGAAACAATTCGGAATTTTGAGCTTGTCACTTCCCAGCTTTCAGTGATACGTGCCAAATTAGCAGCGCCCAACTAACAGTTTTAAATGAGCAGCTCTTAACTTTGCAGCTCCCACTGAGAAATACCAAGTTAGCAGCTCTCAACTAACAGTTCTAAATCTTCTCAATTTGCAGCTCCCAATGATAAATGCTGAATTTGCAGCTCTCAGTGAGAAATGCCAAGTTTGCAGCTCCCAAAAAAAAATCCGAATTTTGAGCTTATCAGTTTCCAGCTTTAAATGATAAGTTGTTAGTTAGCAGCGCCCAACAAGCAGTTTTTTAAATTAGCAGCTCCTAAGCTTGCAGCTCCCAAAAGGTAGTACTACTTTTGCAGCTCCCAAAAGGTAGTACTGGCTTTGCAGCTCCCAAAAAGTAGTACTGCTTTTGCAGCTCCCAAAAAGTAGTACTGCTTTTGCAGCTCCCAAAAAGTAGTACTGGCTTTGCAGCTCCCAAAAGGTAGTACTGGCTTTGCAGCTCCCAAAAGGTAGTACTGGCTTTGCAGCTCCCAAAAGGTAGTACTGGCTTTGCAGCTCCCAAAAGGTAGTACTGGCTTTGCAGCTCCCAAGAGGTAGTACTGGCTTTGAAGCTCCCAAAAAGTAGTACTGCTTTTGCAGCTCCCAAAAAGTAGTACTGGCTTTGCAGCTCCCAAAAGGTAGTACTGGCTTTGCAGCTCCCAAAAGGTAGTACTGGCTTTGCAGCTCCCAAAAGGTAGTACTGGCTTTGCAGCTCCCAAAAAGTAGTACTGCTTTTGCAGCTCCCAAAAAGTAGTACTGGCTTTGCAGCTCCCAAAAGGTAGTACTGGCTTTGCAGCTCCCAAAAAGTAGTACTGCTTTTGCAGCTCCCAAAAAGTAGTACTGCTTTTGCAGCTCCCAAAAAGTAGTACTGGCTTTGCAGCTCCCAAAAGGTAGTACTGACTTTTGCAGCTCCCAAAAAGGTAGTACTGGCTTTGCAGCTCCCAAAAGGTAGTACTGGCTTTTGCAGCTCCCAAAAGGTAGTACTGGCTTTGCAGCTCCCAAAAGGTAGTACTGGCTTTTGCAGCTCCCAAAAAGTAGTACTGGCTTTTGCAGCTCCCAAAAAGTAGTACTGGCTTTGCAGCTCCCAAAAAGGTAGTACTGACTTTTGCAGCTCCCAAAAAGGTAGTACTGGCTTTGCAGCTCCCAAAAAGGTAGTACTGGCTTTTGCAGCTCCCAAAGAGGTAGTACTGGCTTTGCAGCTCCCAAAAAGGTAGTACTGGCTTTGCAGCTCCCAAAAAGGTAGTACTGGCTTTTGCAGCTCCCAAAAAGGTAGTACTGGCTTTGCAGCTCCCAAAAGGTAGTACTGGCTTTGCAGCTCCCAAAAGGTAGTACTGGCTTTGCAGCTCCCAAGAGGTAGTACTGGCTTTGAAGCTCCCAAAAAGTAGTACTGCTTTTGCAGCTCCCAAAAGGTAGTACTGGCTTTGCAGCTCCCAAAAGGTAGTACTGGCTTTGCAGCTCCCAAAAGGTAGTACTGGCTTTGCAGCTCCCAAAAGGTAGTACTGGCTTTGCAGCTCCCAAAAGGTAGTACTGGCTTTGCAGCTCCCAAAAGGTAGTACTGGCTTTGCAACTCCCAAAAAGTAGTACTGCTTTTGCAGCTCCCAAAAAGTAGTACTGGCTTTGCAGCTCCCAAAAGGTAGTACTGGCTTTGCAGCTCCCAAAAAGTAGTACTGCTTTTGCAGCTCCCAAAAAGTAGTACTGGCTTTGCAGCTCTCAAAAGGTAGTACTACTTTTGCAGCTCCCAAAAGGTAGTACTGGCTTTGCAGCTCCCAAAAGGTAGTACTGGTTTTGCAGCTCCCAAGAGGTAGTACTGGCTTTGCAGCTCCCAAAAGGTAGTACTGGCTTTGCAGCTCCCAAAAGGTAGTACTGGCTTTGCAGCTCCCAAAAGGTAGTACTGGCTTTGCAGCTCCCAAGAGGTAGTACTGGCTTTGAAGCTCCCAAAAAGTAGTACTGCTTTTGCAGCTCCCACTGAGAAATACCAAGTTAGCAGCTCTCAACTAACAGTTCTAAATCTTCTCAATTTGCAGCTCCCAATGATAAATGCTGAATTTGCAGCTCTCAGTGAGAAATGCCAAGTTTGCAGCTCCCAAAAAAAAAATCCGAATTTTGAGCTTATCAGTTTCCAGCTTTAAATGATAAGTTGTTAGTTAGCAGCGCCCAACAAGCAGTTTTTTAAATTAGCAGCTCCTAAAGCTTGCAGCTCCCAAAAAGGTAGTACTACTTTTTGCAGCTCCCAAAAAGGTAGTACTGGCTTTGCAGCTCCCAAAAAGTAGTACTGCTTTTGCAGCTCCCAAAAAGTAGTACTGGCTTTGCAGCTCCCAAAAGGTAGTACTGGCTTTGCAGCTCCCAAAAGGTAGTACTGGCTTTGCAGCTCCCAAAAGGTAGTACTGGCTTTGCAGCTCCCAAGAGGTAGTACTGGCTTTGAAGCTCCCAAAAAGTAGTACTGCTTTTGCAGCTCCCAAAAAGTAGTACTGGCTTTGCAGCTCCCAAAAGGTAGTACTGGCTTTGCAGCTCCCAAAAGGTAGTACTGGCTTTGCAGCTCCCAAAAAGTAGTACTGGCTTTGAATCTCCCAAAAAGTAGTACTGCTTTTGCAGCTCCCAAAAAGTGGTACTGGCTTTGCAGCTCCCAAAAAGTAGTACTGGCTTTGCAGCTCCCAAAAAGGTAGTACTGGCTTTGCAGCTCCCAAAAGGTAGTACTGGCTTTGCAGCTCCCAAAAAGGTAGTACTGGCTTTGCAGCTCCCAAAAGGTAGTACTGGCTTTGCAGCTCCCAAAAAGTAGTACTGGCTTTTGCAGCTCCCAAAAAGGTAGTACTGGCTTTGCAGCTCCCAAAAAGGTAGTACTGGCTTTGCAGCTCCCAAAAAGTAGTACTGGCTTTTGCAGCTCCCAAAAAAAGTAGTACTGGCTTTGCAGCTCCCAAAAAGGTAGTACTGCTTTTGCAGCTCCCAAAAAGGTAGTACTGGCTTTGCAGCTCCCAAAAAGTAGTACTGGCTTTGCAGCTCCCAAAAAGGTAGTACTGGCTTTTGCAGCTCCCAAAAAGGTAGTACTGGCTTTGCAGCTCCCAAAAAGGTAGTACTGGCTTTTGCAGCTCCCAAAAAGGTAGTACTGGCTTTGCAGCTCCCAAAAAGGTAGTACTGGCTTTTGCAGCTCCCAAAAAGGTAGTACTGGCTTTGCAGCTCCCAAAAAGGTAGTACTGGCTTTTGCAGCTCCCAAAAGGTAGTACTGGCTTTTGCAGCTCCCAAAAAGGTAGTACTGGCTTTGCAGCTCCCAAAAAGGTAGTACTGGCTTTGCAGCTCCCAAAAAGGTAGTACTGGCTTTGCAGCTCCCAAAAAGGTAGTACTGGCTTTTGCAGCTCCCAAAAAAGTAGTACTGGCTTTGCAGCTCCCAAAAAGGTAGTACTGGCTTTTGCAGCTCCCAAAAAGGTAGTACTGGCTTTGCAGCTCCCAAAAAGGTAGTACTGGCTTTGCAGCTCCCAAAAAGGTAGTACTGGCTTTGCAGCTCCCAAAAAGGTAGTACTGGCTTTGCAGCTCCCAAAAAGGTAGTACTGGCTTTGCAGCTCCCAAAAAGGTAGTACTGGCTTTGCAGCTCCCAAAAAGTAGTACTGGCTTTGCAGCTCCCAAAAAGGTAGTACTGGCTTTTGCAGCTCCCAAAAAGGTAGTACTGGCTTTGCAGCTCCCAAAAAGGTAGTACTGGCTTTGCAGCTCCCAAAAAGGTAGTACTGGCTTTGCAGCTCCCAAAAAGGTAGTACTGGCTTTTGCAGCTCCCAAAAAGGTAGTACTGGCTTTGCAGCTCCCAAAAAGGTAGTACTGGCTTTGCAGCTCCCAAAAAGGTAGTACTGCTTTTGCAGCTCCCAAAAAGTAGTACTGGCTTTGCAGCTCCCAAAAAGTAGTACTGGCTTTGCAGCTCCCAAAAGGTAGTACTGGCTTTTGCAGCTCCCAAAAAGTAGTACTGGCTTTTGCAGCTCCCAAAAAGGTAGTACTGGCTTTGCAGCTCCCAAAAGGTAGTACTGCTTTTGCAGCTCCCAAAAAGTAGTACTGGCTTTGCAGCTCCCAAAAGGTAGTACTGCTTTTGCAGCTCCCAAAAAGTAGTACTGCTTTTGCAGCTCCCAAAAGGTAGTACTGGCTTTGCAGCTCCCAAAAGGTAGTACTGGCTTTGCAGCTCCCAAAAAGGTAGTACTGGCTTTTGCAGCTCCCAAAAAGGTAGTACTGGCTTTTGCAGCTCCCAAAAAGTAGTACTGGCTTTGCAGCTCCCAAAAAGGTAGTACTGGCTTTTGCAGCTCCCAAAAAGGTAGTACTGGCTTTGCAGCTCCCAAAAAGGTAGTACTGGCTTTGCAGCTCCCAAAAAGGTAGTACTGGCTTTGCAGCTCCCAAAAAGGTAGTACTGGCTTTGCAGCTCCCAAAAGGTAGTACTGGCTTTGCAGCTCCCAAAAAGTAGTACTGCTTTTGCAGCTCCCAAAAAGGTAGTACTGGCTTTGCAGCTCCCAAAAAGTAGTACTGGCTTTTTGCAGCTCCCAAAAAGGTAGTACTGGCTTTGCAGCTCCCAAAAAGGTAGTACTGGCTTTTGCAGCTCCCAAAAGGTAGTACTGGCTTTGCAGCTCCCAAAAAGGTAGTACTGGCTTTGCAGCTCCCAAAAAGGTAGTACTGGCTTTTGCAGCTCCCAAAAAGGTAGTACTGGCTTTTGCAGCTCCCAAAAAGGTAGTACTGGCTTTGCAGCTCCCAAAAAGGTAGTACTGGCTTTTGCAGCTCCCAAAAAGGTAGTACTGGCTTTGCAGCTCCCAAAAAGGTAGTACTGGCTTTTGCAGCTCCCAAAAAGGTAGTACTGGCTTTGCAGCTCCCAAAAAGTAGTACTGCTTTTGCAGCTCCCAAAAAGTAGTACTGGCTTTGCAGCTCCCAAAAAGGTAGTACTGGCTTTGCAGCTCCCAAAAAGTAGTACTGGCTTTTGCAGCTCCCAAAAAGGTAGTACTGGCTTTGCAGCTCCCAAAAAGGTAGTACTGGCTTTGCAGCTCCCAAAAAGGTAGTACTGGCTTTGCAGCTCCCAAAAGGTAGTACTGGCTTTTGCAGCTCCCAAAAGGTAGTACTGGCTTTTGCAGCTCCCAAAAAGTAGTACTGGCTTTGCAGCTCCCAAAAAGTAGTACTGGCTTTTGCAGCTCCCAAAAGGTAGTACTGGCTTTGCAGCTCCCAAAAGGTAGTACTGGCTTTGCAGCTCCCAAAAGGTAGTACTGGCTTTGCAGCTCCCAAAAAGTAGTACTGGCTTTGCAGCTCCCAAAAGGTAGTACTGGCTTTGCAGCTCCCAAAAGGTAGTACTGGCTTTGCAGCTCCCAAAAAGGTAGTACTGGCTTTTGCAGCTCCCAAAAAGGTAGTACTGGCTTTGCAGCTCCCAAAAAGGTAGTACTGGCTTTTGCAGCTCCCAAAAAGTAGTACTGGCTTTTGCAGCTCCCAAAAAGGTAGTACTGGCTTTTGCAGCTCCCAAAAAGGTAGTACTGGCTTTGCAGCTCCCAAAAAGTAGTACTGCTTTTGCAGCTCCCAAAAAGTAGTACTGGCTTTGCAGCTCCCAAAAGGTAGTACTGGCTTTGCAGCTCCCAAAAGGTAGTACTGGCTTTTGCAGCTCCCAAAAAGTAGTACTGGCTTTTGCAGCTCCCAAAAAGTAGTACTGGCTTTGCAGCTCCCAAAAAGGTAGTACTGGCTTTTGCAGCTCCCAAAAAGTAGTACTGGCTTTTGCAGCTCCCAAAAAGTAGTACTGGCTTTTGCAGCTCCCAAAAAGGTAGTACTGGCTTTGCAGCTCCCAAAAAGGTAGTACTGGCTTTTGCAGCTCCCAAAAAGGTAGTACTGGCTTTGCAGCTCCCAAAAGGTAGTACTGGCTTTTGCAGCTCCCAAAAAGGTAGTACTGGCTTTGCAGCTCCCAAAAAGGTAGTACTGGCTTTGCAGCTCCCAAAAAGGTAGTACTGGCTTTTGCAGCTCCCAAAAGGTAGTACTGGCTTTTGCAGCTCCCAAAAGGTAGTACTGGCTTTGCAGCTCCCAAAAGGTAGTACTGGCTTTTGCAGCTCCCCAAAAAGGTAGTACTGGCTTTTGCAGCTCCCAAAAGGTAGTACTGGCTTTGCAGCTCCCAAAAAGGTAGTACTGGCTTTTGCAGCTCCCAAAAAGTAGTACTGGCTTTGCAGCTCCCAAAAAGGTAGTACTGCTTTTGCAGCTCCCAAAAAAGTAGTACTGGCTTTGCAGCTCCCAAAAAGGTAGTACTGGCTTTTGCAGCTCCCAAAAAGGTAGTACTGGCTTTGCAGCTCCCAAAAAGGTAGTACTGGCTTTGCAGCTCCCAAAAAGGTAGTACTGGCTTTGCAGCTCCCAAAAGGTAGTACTGGCTTTTGCAGCTCCCAAAAAGGTAGTACTGGCTTTGCAGCTCCCAAAAAGTAGTACTGGCTTTTGCAGCTCCCAAAAAGTAGTACTGGCTTTTGCAGCTCCCAAAAGGTAGTACTGGCTTTGCAGCTCCCAAAAGGTAGTACTGGCTTTGCAGCTCCCAAAAGGTAGTACTGGCTTTGCAGCTCCCAAAAAGGTAGTACTGGCTTTTGCAGCTCCCAAAAAGTAGTACTGGCTTTGCAGCTCCCAAAAGGTAGTACTGGCTTTGCAGCTCCCAAAAAGGTAGTACTGGCTTTGCAGCTCCCAAAAAGGTAGTACTGGCTTTTGCAGCTCCCAAAAGGTAGTACTGGCTTTGCAGCTCCCAAAAAGGTAGTACTGGCTTTTGCAGCTCCCAAAAAGTAGTACTGGCTTTGCAGCTCCCAAAAAGTAGTACTGGCTTTGCAGCTCCCAAAAAGGTAGTACTGGCTTTTGCAGCTCCCAAAAAGGTAGTACTGGCTTTGCAGCTCCCAAAAGGTAGTACTGGCTTTGCAGCTCCCAAAAAGTAGTACTGCTTTTGCAGCTCCCAAAAGGTAGTACTGGCTTTGCAGCTCCCAAAAGGTAGTACTGGCTTTGCAGCTCCCAAAAAGTAGTACTGCTTTTGCAGCTCCCAAAAAGTAGTACTGGCTTTGCAGCTCCCAAAAAGTAGTACTGGCTTTGCAGCTCCCAAAAGGTAGTACTGGCTTTGCAGCTCCCAAAAAGTAGTACTGGCTTTGCAGCTCCCAAAAAGTAGTACTGGCTTTGCAGCTCCCAAAAAGTAGTACTGCTTTTGCAGCTCCCAAAAAGTAGTACTGGCTTTGCAGCTCCCAAAAGGTAGTACTGGCTTTGCAGCTCCCAAAAGGTAGTACTGCTTTTGCAGCTCCCAAAAGGTAGTACTGGCTTTGCAGCTCCCAAAAGGTAGTACTGGCTTTGCAGCTCCCAAAAAGTAGTACTGCTTTTGCAGCTCCCAAAAAGTAGTACTGGCTTTGCAGCTCCCAAAAAGTAGTACTGCTTTTGCAGCTCCCAAAAAGTAGTACTGGCTTTGCAGCTCCCAAAAAGGTAGTACTGGCTTTTGCAGCTCCCAAAAAGGTAGTACTGGCTTTGCAGCTCCCAAAAGGTAGTACTAGCTTTTGCAGCTCCCAAAAAGGTAGTACTGGCTTTTGCAGCTCCCAAAAAGGTAGTACTGGCTTTTGCAGCTCCCAAAAAGTAGTACTGCTTTTGCAGCTCCCAAAAAGTAGTACTGGCTTTGCAGCTCCCAAAAAGTAGTACTGCTTTTGCAGCTCCCAAAAAGTAGTACTGGCTTTGCAGCTCTCAAAAGGTAGTACTACTTTTGCAGCTCCCAAAAGGTAGTACTGGCTTTGCAGCTCCCAAAAGGTAGTACTGGTTTTGCAGCTCCCAAGAGGTAGTACTGGCTTTGCAGCTCCCAAATAATGCCAACTATCTGGATACTTACCACACCGAAATCCCCAGGGCGATTGTAATTAAGCGGATCAAACTCTCCTTTCCCATCAATTGCATAAGCCTTGGGGTCGAGGAGGTTAAATGAGTGGCGTTGGGGGAAGCGACGAATTACGCGCTTTTAATTGACAGCCACCGGACAATTGAGCCCGGCTCATCGATCATTACTGATATGCGCCAACGACTCGTAGGACGACGGTTGTTGAGAGGCTAGGTATCTGGAGAATCGGGCTTGAATCTTGGTCTCGATAGCCATAATTGTTCTTTGGAACTAGAAAGTTTGGTCTCTTTCAGTTTTGATCGTACAAAAGTGATTAGAAAACAAGAAGGAACCATCTTCTTTTTTTTTGATTTACGGGGAAAATTTTTAGTGGCCACTATGGGGTTTTGATGTCTTAGTGGCCAATATAGTAGTCAAACTAGTCGACACTTAAGGGGTTAAAAATTAGAGGCCACTATAGAGGTCTAAGTGCTACTATTAGACCACTAAACATTTTAGTGGCCACTTTAGGGGTCAATGGATCAACATAACTGGTCCAATCTGTTTGTTTTAAAGTTATCCGAGTTACTGGAGGGAATACCGGATGGAAAACTACTCAAGTGGCCACTAAAACGGAAAATAGTGACCACTGTAGAGGTGGGTTTAGTGTCCTCTCTAAGTAGTCCTTGGCGAGCCTCTATAGTGGCCTATAAAAATTTTCCCAGTAACCGTCACTTTCTTCTCTTTTTTCACTGTAAGTCTATGGTCACACTAGAAATGGCTCAAAATAATGCGCCTGTAGTTTTAAAAAAACGTTTTGAAGTCGTCTTGAAGGAGCGCGATAATCCAAGGATTTCCTGTGCCTCAGCGCGTAAGTCGTTTCGGGTTGGGCGAGACTATAAAAATCATTAAATTCAGCCATTTTTAGAGGAATTATTGATATCAACATCTTATTATTCTAATAAAGTTCTCGGTTTGGGCTGTAGGCATTTTTAAAGTTTTAAAAGTTTAGTTCGGGATAAGAATTGATTTTTTAACTTTATTAAGGTTGAACTTAAACCAAGGCTAAAAAAATAATAGGCAAAAAGCCTTGAAAAACCTCAGAAAATCACTTAGAAGTCTGGCTATCGATTTTCTTAAAAATAAATACTTTTAGTGAAATTTCGACACACAAAAAAGGCTCTACAAAATGGCAATAACCTCAAAAAAATCTCATTTTCTTCACTAATCAAGCTTTCGAATCAGAAGGATTTGAAAGTGTTGACTGTTGTAATTAGTGAGATTAGACGAACGGTAGGTAAGGCCCTCGTGTTTGGCCGAGATGGTCGCGGCTGGCTGAACTCCCCGCAAACAAGCCTCACAATGGGCACGATGAGCCGAAACGCCCCGTTTTGCATAAGAAGTTTTGGAATGGATTCCCCATTGAATCCTGGTCATTTTATTGGTAGTTTTCGATGCTTTTGAGGTCATTTTGGGCATTTTTTTTGATTTTATATAGCCTTTGAGGTTATTTTGGTGTAGAGGTGTGAAAGGTTGTAGTTGTATCATTCTGGGATTCGTTAACTTTTGCGATTTTTGTTGTCCTCTCTCTTTATAATTATTAGGAATCCACCGTTCTGCATAGTAGTTCTCGGATGGCTTTGTATTGAATTTTCCCTTTTTTCTATTTTTTTTTTTGGTTGAAATAGAAGATAGCCTTTGAGGCTTCGAGGTCTTGGCACGATTGGCAAAAAAAGTTAACTACAGTATGCATCGGATAAATGACTGTATTGAAAAGATAATGACTATAATTTTGCCTTTTTCCACTTTCTTTTCAAATGATTTTTTGTCGTTGAATTCAAGAAGGTTCATCAGAATGTCATCGGTAATAAAAATGCAAGGATCCAACGACGACTTCCGGCCCTCCCATGTCCTTGGAGAAATTCAGAAGCCGTCACTTTTCTCCATCAACGTTAGGAAGTCTGGTTTTAGTTTGAGGCAAAGAGCAAATGTTGGGCAGGAAGATCTGAGGTCGGTTACGTCTGTACAGCTTGCTCAAGATGAATTGAAAAGGTCTGACAAGTCTGCGCTCTCTTTTCCCTCACAAACTGTAGTCGTCGTTTTCCTCAAAAAGGTTCATCAGAATTTCGTCGGCGATGAGAGCCCAAGGATCGATCGACGACTTCCGGTCCCCTCCTCCCCTTCTTGGAGAGCTCCAGAAGCCGTCATTCTTCTCAATCGACTTGGGAAAGTCAAGATTTCGAGATCAAGGCAAAGAGCTCTCTTCAGTGTTATTTCAGTTTATGAACGTCATCTGCGCCTTCAAGGGCATTAATAATTAATTCCGAACGGAAAAGGGTTCAGCAGAAAGATTCAAGTTTGAATAAGGTTGTTTAACTCATTCAACGAGACTTGAATAAGTCTGACCTGTCTGCGCTCTCTTTTCCCTCACAAACTGTAGTCGTCGTTGCCCTCAAAATGATTTATCAGAATGTAGTCGGCAATAAAAACCCAAGGAGCCGTCGACGAATTACCGGTCCTCTCCTCATGTTCTTGGGAATCCGCAGAAGCCGTGATCATCCTCCTCTATGCGAAGGCTCACAGTAACCTTACAGTTTTTTGTAAGAAACTACCCTCTATTTTCTTCTCAGAGTATCAATTTCCTGCCACCTCAAATGAGCCATAGTCGTCGCCTTTCGAAAAAATTCATCAGAATGTCGTCGGCAATAAAAACCCAAGGATCCATCGACCACTTCCGGTCCCCTCCTCCTCTTCTTGCTTGGAGATCTCCAGAAGCCTTCTCAATCGACGTGAGGAAGTCAAGTGGTGGTGTGGGACGTCAAGTGTTGTGATCATGCACTTCTTCGCGGCCAATTGGGCCCTAACCGTATGTCGCGCATTCTCTTGCCCGTGTACGGGAAGCGAGATCCTGGCCGCCAGTAATTGCGACATTCGCATGCTGTGTGGTCAGTCGCATCACCGCCAAATTCGATTCCAGAGCAGAACCTGACCGCTTCTCTTTCAGCCGGCTCAATTTGAGTGGAGTGACCGCTTGGTGGCGTAATTGACGAGTTAAGGTTAGATAATGGTTGGATAATGGGTTGGGTAGGTGATTAGGCTTATCAGAAAGGATAACCAAGTGGACTTGTTTTAAAAACTTCTCTTTTGGCTTGTACGGCTCAATGTGAGTGGAGTGACCGCTTGGTCTCATAATTGACGAGTTAAGGTTCCATAATGGTTGGATAATGGGTTGGGCTCAGGCGGGTGATCAGACTTATTGAAAATGATAACTCAGGGAACTTATTTTGGAAATATATTATAGGATGAAACACACAGTTTAAGGTCAGGCTTACTGTAATTTTCTCTTTTTGATTTTGAGTAGCCTGGACCTCACTTTTGGACTCCGGTGGCTCAATTTGAGTGTAGTGACCGCTTTGGTGGCGTAATTGACGAGTGATAATTGTTGGATAATGGGTTGCGTAGGTGATTAGGCTTATCAGAAAGTATAACCAAGTGAACTAATTTAGAAGTAAGGGAGAGCTGCAGTTTGAGATATTTTTGAATTCTGAGGAGGACGCTCAAAGTTCAAGATCAATTATCATGGACCTCAGGATCTCAAATACCTGGAACTTGTCTTCGACCCGTCTGCTCAATCCGAGTCGAGTTGTTGGCATAAATGACAGGGTAAGATAATGGTTGGATAATAGGTTCAGCTCGGGAAGGAGGTTTATCGATTTGGATAAGCAATGGTAGATGGGTCAAAAAATTGCGACAGGGTTTCATTTGAGTCAAGATGGTGAAGTTCACAGTTAGGGTCAGGCTTGAGTTAACTGCTCCGCTTATTACTTTTCGAAATGCGTCACCTTTCTTCTGGCTCGTGCGGCTCAATTTGAGTGGAGTGACCGCTTGGGTGGCTCAATTGACGTGGTGAGGTTAGATAATGGTTGGATAATGGGTTGGGCTTCAGGTAGGTGATTAGGCTTATCTAATTGGGTTGACAGACGTTTATGAACTGAAGTAGTGGTGCCGGGGGGAGGTATACACTACTAACTGATAATTGGAACTGAGTGAACTTACTATATAAAATTGGGAGATCCGAAGCCTAATTTATTTTGAGACGTTGGTTGGATAATAAGTTTAGCGCAGGTAGTTGATTGAGCTTATCACTGTGAATAAGGCTAGATGAGATGGTAGTCTTAATTAAGTGGCGAACTGTCAAGCTGACCTGGAAGTTTGTAAGAACAGGCCCTTCCCATCGTATTGCAAGACCTGGACGCCTTTTTTTGTGCTCGGCTGGTTGAAGGCTCTGAAAATATCAACCTGCATAACCTCCTAGTTTTCAAGAAAAGGTACCTGTAACCATCAAACACCTTTTTAACGCATTTTGGATGGTCCTTTGTCTTTGAGGTGTCCTTTCTCGAAAACTAGAAAGTTGTGCAGGATGTGACTTTCAGAATCTTTTTCTGGTACCTAAATGAATAAACTGGCAATTTTTGGGTATCTCCCAACCTCAAAAAAGTGGAATGACCCTCTTTGTAGGGGTTTTTCCAGCTTTTCCATGAGCCCTTGGTCAACACTGACCAGCACTGAAAATCAACAGCTTTGTAAAAAAAAAAAAGCGACTGAATCTTGGATAAGCCACGACGATGGCGTAATGTTATGGGCAGTCTTATTTTTATTGGAGGGTGCCGCAAAGAAGGTTTTTTTCTTCCTGTTTGATACACTTTTTCGGAAGGAGGTTTTTTTGATGGGATGGGTTTTTTAGCTTCTCCTTACTACACCCTTCAGAAAAAATTTTTTTTTAAAATCTAATAAAAGCGAATTTTTAATTAATTTCAGTGATCCAAAGTGAGAGAGATCTTTGGAAAAATTTTTTTCATTTCTGTATTTTTTAAAGTATTTTTGAAAAACATCCTGATAAGTATGAAATTTAATAAAAATCAATTTTTAACTTTTTATCGATTTTTTTGATTTGAATAAGATTTTTTTCAAACGCATTGCATTCATGTGGAATTAGACTAGAGTATAGTTTGATCAAAAAATTCTTTTTGGGGTATTCAAAGGCGCATAAATGAATTTCGTAAAGGTCTCGAAACGAATTGGTGTTTTCAATGTCATTTTTGAGCTGCCAAACTTTTTAGCCTTTCAAAATAGCTGTCCGGAATTTTAGGTTCCTGAAAACTCAAATTTTCCTGGAGATTTCTGAGGTTAATTTTTTTTTTCAAACATATATATCAGTTGAATTTTCAATCACTAACCTCGAAATCCAACAAAAACCTCATAATAACCATTTTGGGTTTTTTAAAGGCGCATGAAAGACTTTCGGAAAGGTCTCGAAGCGAATTGACGTTTTCACAGTCATTTTAGGTCTGATAGACTTTTTCAAACGAACATCAGTTGAATTTCCAATCAATAACCTCGAAATCCAACAAAAACCTCATACTAACCAATTAGCGACTTTCACACAACTAGGGAATCCCGACACGAACGAGGTCGTCCTCCTGCTCAGTCGCGCCATCGTCGCGCAAAAGTGTCGAATGTCGCGAAATTCGAGTTGCCGGTCGCCGCCCCGAGGATTAGCCGCTTCTTTGTGGACATTCCGGCAGGCAGATAGATCTCCCTCCTTCCCGCATATTTGATCTGATCCCCCCCTTCGCCGCCAAGCCGGCCAGAATCTTGATCTTTTTGGCTCTTTTTTTGATTTTTGACATGTTTTTCGAAACGTAGAGGAGAGATGAACACTTTCTTTTCATGAAGAAAATTGACAAAAGGACTTTTTGGAAGGTCCTGGAAACGGTAATTTTTAGAGTAATGAGTCTTTTTGTTGATTTTTGATCCTCTCAAAGCGCTTTTTATATAAAATTTCTCTGCAAATTTTACAGAGCTGCTCGAAATACAAAAAAATCTTGATAGAACTCATTAGACACTTGATTATATACTCATCAGATATATATGAAATATTCTCAATATTTTTGCTTTTTTTAAATTATTTGGACAGGTTCTTTGAGGTATATCTATGAGAACTGAAAAATTGAAGAAAATTTCAAATTTTCTGATGATAAAATTAGTAGGATTCAATAGAACTTTGAAATCGGCTCCGTTTCCTTTGAAGTTGGCAGTTTTCGTGTTTCTAACACACTCTCAACATGTTGAAATTCACCATTTCATGTCGTTTTGAGCAAGATTTTCGTCAAAAAAATTTTTCGTCTCATATCTTTTTCAGGCTCAATAGACTTCAATAAACAGTAAAAAAGTTTTCATCACAAACTTTTTGTCGGAAAATAAGGAATATTGCATAAAATTTTGAATTTTTTATTCATTAAAAATTTTCAGGAAAGAGTCTCATGACAACAAGGAAAGATAAGACAAAAATTTTTTGTCGGATATCTTGCTCAAAACGAAATTTTTTCCAAGAAAAAAATTGGCAAAAAAAATTGCACCATATAGGATTCGAACCCGCATCATGGATTCCGCAGCGCAAGGCCACTAGCCACTACACCACGCCGCCTCATGGCAGCTAGAGTTAGCCGCCGCAAGACATTCCCTCCATCCATCTAATGCGATTTTTGCGTGGAAACTTTGAGCCAATATAACTCGACTAGGACCAAAAAAGCGCATTTTTCATCAATTTCTTTGAATTCGGGGTGTTCGAAGTATCTATATACAAAGTTTCATCAAATTCCAACACCTCGACCTTTCGCACTCTCCGTTTAAGTTCATTTACTCAGTTCACACTTTCAAAAAATTCGCTTTGATTTTCATCTATCCTAATCAGATTGGCATCTATTTCATTTTCTCCAACTTCAACCTTTTTTTCAATATCTGGAGATGTTTCAAAGTGGGAAGATGAACCGCTACATACCCCGTTTGGCGGCGAAACCAATTCATTTCTCGTCGAAATAAAAAGAAACTCCGGCTGGAAGGAAGGACGGACGGGGGCAGCAAATCAAAGGGCACGCGAAGGTGTTTCCATCCCAATTATCCAACGGGCCGAGGAACTTTTTCATCTCCTCATTATACATGTACATGTCCCTGATCCTACGGATCCTTCGAGAATTTTTGCCAAGGACGATCTCACTCAAGTGGTCCCTTGAAGAGGGTCTCTTTTCCTATAGATCCGTCGAAAATTCTCCGTAAGAAAAGTCACTCAAGTGGTCCCTTGGAGAAGATCCGATCTTGTACATTTCCCTGATCTGTTCCAATATCCTCGGCAAGAGAAAAATCACTCAAATGTTCACTTGGATTGGGTCGGACCATGTACATGTCCCTGATCCCTTCGAGAGCCCTCCCCGAGGACTATCACTTAAATGATCCCCAAGAACGATGACCTAAGGAGTCCCTTAAACAGGACCCGATCATGTATATGTCTCTGGTCCTGCGGATCCTTCGAGAATCTTCCCCAAGCGAGATCACTCAAGTGCTCCCTTGAAGAAGACCAGATCATGTACATTTCCTTGATCTCTTCAGAAATCTTCTGCAAAAAAATCACTTAAGTGGTCCCTTGAGAAGATCCGATCTTGTACATTTCCCTAATCTCTTACGAAATCCTCTGCAAGAAAAAAATCGCTTAAGTGCTCACTTGGATTGGGCCGGACCCTGTACAGGTCCCTGATCCTACAGAACCGTCGAGAACTCTTCCCAAGGAAGATCACTTAAGTAGTCCCTTGAAGAGGACCGGGTCATAGATATGTCCCTAAGCCGTTCAGAAATCCTCAACAAGAAAAATCCAAGAGTTCACTTGGATTGGGCCCGATCATGTACATGTCTCTGATCCCTTCGAGAGCCCTCCCCAAGGGATATCACTTAAGTGGTCCCTTGAAGGGAACCAGACCATTTTCATGTCCCTGATGCCCTCAAGAATCCTCTTCAAGAAGATCACTCAAGTGGTCCCTTGAAAAGGGGACAGAAGGCAAGTCCGAGTCGCCTTTCTTGGAATTTAATGACCGGTTTGTGGCTCCACCACCCGCCTCGTTAATTCTACTGACAGACAGATCGACACGCCTTCTTTTTTTGTGCTCATCCTTCAAGGATCTATTGTCCTGGGATTTGGTGGTTTTTGGGTCATATTAGTGGTTCTTTTCCCTACGGAAATGGGTTTTTGTGAGTTTTTTTGATGGAGAGACTTTTTGTAGCGTTTTTTTTGTTTTGTTGTTTCGAAATTGATAAAAATTATCTTTTTTAAAGGTTTTTTTATGAGATATGATAGTTTTTTTGGGTAAAAAAATATTGGACCGAAACGGCTTTTTCTAAATTTTTCTAATGGAGAGCATTTTTGAGAAGGTTTATAGAAACTCTTTTTGAAAGAATATTTTTTTCTGTAATTTGCCTATATTTGTTCCTATTTTTCAATTCTGATTCTCGTTTCCAAAACGATTTTTTTCAGAGATTCATTGAAAAGGAATCTAAAAATTTTTTTCAATTTTTCTACTTTTTGAAGCTTGATTTTTTCTGAACGAATTTCGTTCGATTCCTGAAGTGTATTCGAAACGAACGCGGAAAAAAACTCTTGACACGCGAACTTTTTTTCCAATTTTATCCCACAAAACACTTGGATTTCAAATGGCGAGAAAACAATTATCTGGCTTTTTGTTGTGCTAAAAACTTAGGAATGCGTTCAAAAATGTGAATTGTATATTTTTCTCCACGAATTTCTCTAAAGTTCAAATTAATAATTTTTGAAAGTATAGAATTTTTCGAAAATTGTCAAGATTTTTTTGAGTAGACTTCATTTTTTTCAACCAGGCGCTTTTTTTGAACTCTGAAAGTTTGCTCTATTGGACATATTACGGGAAAGAAGAAAGTTTATGTTAGTAGTGACATTAGAGCATTAATAACCGGTTTTTTGAGTGTAGTTAGTTCAAATAATTTTTTTTGGTATTTAAATAGGACTAAAAAAATAGCACTGAAAAGGTTTTTAAACAAGTTTATAACGGCGCTATTTTTCACGCGGCTCAAATTTTTTTGCCTAACATGATCAGTTTTTTTAGCTCAAGAAGCTTATTCTTCGTAAAAAATAAGAAAATAGTTGAAAAAAGGCTCATTTTTTGCCAAAAAGGCTCAGACAGCGCTATTTTTACGCGGCTTGTTTTAATTTTTGTCTAAAAAAGCCGGGATTCAAATCCAAAAGCTCGCTTTTTGAATAAAAAGGGCTCAACGACGCTATTTTTACGCGGCTCAATTATTCCTCAGAAATGTTAAGATGATCTTCTGGAAGCTTGCTCTGCATAAAAAAGAGAAGGAAAGTTATGAAAATTCCAAATTTTTTAAAGGAAACGGGTGATTTTTATAACAGCGTTATTTCCACGCGGCTCAATTTTTCCTCCACCCGAGATACGCAAATTTTGGCACCCTGCTCCAGGGGAAGCTCATAAAACACCCGGAGAGGGCCGTTGACGATGTTGCAAATCGCTTCGCGGCTATAAATTTTGAGCCGCCATCTTGGCTCTCAGTTATTTATGACGTCATCAGATCTCTCCTACAAATTGGCGAGGTCTTACAACGAAAAGAATTTTTCTTGAGCGGCGTCCAGACAAACATTTCTCTTAGTTTCTGTTGAATTATTCATCCCCTTACCTCGTTCGCACTGCACTCAGGTGTGTCTAACCTGTTTAATATATATAAAAGCACTTTTGGAAGAGAGTTTTTCGCTTCTTTCTGGACCTTTTTTCTTTTTTTAGTTAGATTTTTTGACTATTTCTGATAAAATTTTGAGTGGCCACTATAGAGGCTCGCCAAGGACTACTTGGAGAGGACACTAAAGTGGCCACTATTTTCCGTTTCAGTGGCCACTTCAGTAGTTTTACCCCTTAAGTGGTCACTAATTTGACTACTATAGTGGCCACTAAAACGTCAAAACCCTGTAGTGGTCACTAAAAGTTTTCGTAGTTCGCTGCGCTTTTTCCGTTCTAAAAGTCTCTTCAAGACTCTTTAAAGGAGCATAGACAAATTTGATAGAGGTCTCGAAGCGAAAAAGGGCTTTTAGTTGAATAATCTCAGCGCAGGTGTCCTAAAGAGTTTAAAACGAGTATTTTTCATTATATTTATAATTTAAAAAAAGTAAAATTGAGAGTTTCGAAATTTTAAAATTTCCAAAAAAATCTATGTATTGCAGAGACAGGTTTTTGTTCCGAAGCCATTTTTTATATTTTTCTATTTTTCCTGTAACAAAAGAGTGATAAATTCGAACCATTGGATCATAAATCAATGCAATTGCTTTGATCGGCGAAATAGTGTGCTGGATAGAGAGAATTAGACAGTGGGAAAAACTCTAGTGGCCACTTAAGAGGTTCCTCAAGGGCTTCTTGAAGAGGACACTAAAGGGGCTACTGAAACTAGCTCTGTAGAAGCCACTATTTTGCTTCTAAGTGGCCACTATAGTAGTTTCAATCGTCCAGTAGTACCGCATAGACTTCTATAGAGGTCACTTAAACGTCTAAACCCTGAAGTGGCCACTAGAAATTTTCCCAGTTCTTTGGTAATTTTTGTCTCCAAGCCATGATTTAAAAATAATTTCGAGAAAATTTTTTTAAACCAAAGCTCAGCTTTTTTTCCGTTGTGGACGCCTTGGTCAATTTCTCTTCCCCCCGCCCCCCTCCCGGCCGGCTCAAAAAAAGGATGGGCCCAAAGAAAGGAACAATTAGGGTATATTGGGCATAGAGCTTGGTTCTCTGATGTGGCTAAACGACAAAAAGACATCCCGTCGAAAAAGCAATAATCTCCCATTTTCATCCCCCAATTCTCGACTCCGCCCATTTTTCCCACCGCCCGGCCACGCCCACAATTTTTGTTCGCGCTCGATTGCTTCCGCCGCCATGTGTTGGTCCTCACCGTTTGTCTTATGGCTTTTCCTTATTTTTCCATTTATGGGCTGTTTTTTTGATTTATTGTTTTAGTGAGATCATTTCGTGACAAAATAGTGACAAATTTGAATTCTTTTTGATGGGATTTTGGCTTGGTTTTGGGGTTATTGGCACCTTCTCACTGTTTTTCGTGAGTTCTTCATTTTCCATTTACGGCCTGATTTATTGATTTATTAATCGAGTGAGATTGTTTTGTGACAAAATAGTGACGGATTCATTGATTATTATGAAGTTTAGTCCATTAGCCACCAATTTGTAAGCTCTGACTTCTCTGCACCCTCTTTTCTCTCGCCGGAAAGGATGATTTTCCGGTTCAGTGAGATCATTTTGTGACAAAATAGTGACAAATTAATCCAGCCCTTCTGATGGGATTTTGGCTTGATTATGTTCCTGGTCCCTATAGGGGTTAGAGGAGAAACAGCCCTTAAAAGGGCTGGATTTTAGGTAGTTTCTATAGTACCTTTATAACTCAAGTGCTCCCTATAGGGGTCAATTTACTCATCGAGTTTTTGGCATGGAAATGCTTCTTCTCATAGATTTCATAGCTATAATTGGCTAGCATGTGCTCTGGAGAGTAGGTGAAGTGGTCCCTAGAGGGAAAAGGGCTTCAAACCCCTATAGGGACCACTCTGAAGTTGCTAGTTCACAAAAACGGTTAAAACTGGGAAAATTTGCAGTGGCCACTATAGAGGTTAAGGAGGACCCTAAAGTGGCCACTAAACCCACCTCTATAGTGACCACTATTTCCCGTTTGAGTGGCCACTGTAGAGGTTCTCTATTTAGTGGCCACTTCAGTAGTTTTTCATCCTTCCAGTACCTCTGATAATTTTAAAACAAACAGATTGGGCCAGTTATGTTGATCTATTGACCCCTAAAGTGGCCACTTAAATTTTTAGTGGTCTAGTAGTAGCACTTAGACCTCTATACTGACCACTAATTTTTAACCCCTTAAATGGCCACTAATTTGTCTACTATAGTGGCCACTAAAACGTCAAAACCCTATAGTGGCTTCTAAAAATTTTCACAGAACCGCAAAAAAATGTGAGAAAAGTATTCTACAATCCAAACAAAACTGGAAAATTCCATTTTGCCGGCCCCCCAGGGCGCGGCTCTTTTATCTTTTCCACGTTCAATTGGCGACGCCGGCGCGGATTTCGTCGGTCTCAAGAGCCGAGGCTTGCTTTCCTCTCAATTTCATTTCCAACCGTCTGTTTCTTCTTCGTTTTCTTCTGTTTTTTCTTCTCTTTGCTCTCTTTTCTTCTTGTCCCTTTTTCGATAGGCCAAAAAAGGTCACTTTGCTCTACTTTTTGGTCAGGCTCATCTACCTTAAAATATCCCTACTTCCTAGAGCTCAAAGTCTCAAAATGATTGGCTACAGTATACGGAGCTTTTTTGCGTTATTCGCTTCAAGACCTGTTATCTGAACGTATATGGTACTTGGGTCAGAAAAAAATATATTTTTAGGTACAATTTTTTTACCTGAAAACTGTCAGATTATTCCTTGTTGTATTTTTTAAAAAATCCCTAAAGTCTCCACTTTTTAGTTTTTCTGAATACGAGTTCAAAGTCAAAAAATGGTTCGCGCAAAAAAACGAAAAAAAAATACAGTATACGGAGCTTTTTTGCAAGCTTCGCTTCAAGACCTAGAACCTTACGGTATACGGTATTTTGACTGAAAAAAGTGACGAGCTTTCCAGAACTTTGAGCTTGAATTCTCCAAAAAAGGCGCAAAAAAAAAACTACAGTATCCGGAGCTTTTTTGTACACTTCGCTTCAAGACCTGCACAAGACTTTTCACCTAAAAGTATTTTTTTTCAGAAATGCTTGAAAAATGATGCGCTACCTTCGAACTTTCCTGGTTCTACTGGCCGTCGACGCCGTCGGCAGCTCTCCCAGTAGTCTCTGCCGGGACACCGAATCTTGTATCGCCCGGGTCAAGCAGATCGTCGCTGCTCCGAGAAGGTCAGCGAGTTCATTTGCGGGGAAACTTGGGAAAATCGATTTTTTTTTTAGGTATTTCGAACTAAATAGGGTTACATTTCCCTCATATACCTTCTATGCATAATAATAGAATTTTTTAATTTTAACTTGTAGAAAATTTATAACTTGTGACGCTTCAAAAGTCTTAAAATTTACGAAAAATCGTTATTTAAAGGTCTTGAAGCGTCATAACTCGGAAAAGGTACCTATTGAGAGGGTTTTTCTCTTTTTATGGATCCAGGAGGTTCTGGGGTACATTTCAGCTAAGTTTCATATCTAAAAAAGTTCTCTTGTATATTTAGTGTTTCCCGACTTGAAAAGCGAAGGAGGCGGGGCAATGGACGGGACGCGTAGCGTGTGCGTTCGCGGTTCTTGGCACGAGTTCAATTCAATCGCCGCCGACAAATTAAAAAGCTCGGCAACCGCTCTTTTTCAATGTTTTCTACTACTTTTTGATGCATACATGAATATAATCAATAAATAATTGAAAAAAAGAAATGGAAAGAGCGAAAAACGGGCTTTCCAAAGAGTCGCTGGCGATTGAATTGAACTCGTGCCAAAAACCGCGTACGCACACGCTACGCGTCCCGCCCCCTGCCCCGCCTCCCTCGCCTTTCAAGTCAGGAAACGTTGACTATACAACCTACTTCATGTTTTTCATTAATTTGAACCTTTCCTTCCAGATTTTGGTTCGGCGAGCAACGTTCCGCCCTGTGTTCCTCCTCGAGATCGGTCAACGCCGTCGAATGCCACGGCCCTCCTCAACTCGCCCATTTCCATTCCCTCGCCAGCCGATTATTCAGGTTTTCCCCCCTCTAGAACAGCAAAGGAAAAAAAAAACACTCGAAAAAATTATTCACTGCTGTTGTTATTGCTGACTGGAGAAGTCGTTTTGATTATGCAAGTGGAATTTCGGGACAAAACCCACAGGCCATCAATGCAAATGAGCCTTTTTTGTTGGGTTTTTACACTTGAGCCTCGAAAAACAAAATAAAATAGTTTATTCTGAAATATGGTCGATTCGGTAGCTTAGAAGAGAAAAATGCGGATTTTCGTGTTAAAGTTTTAATTTTTTTGAGAGGTCGATGCGCCTTTAATAAAAACAAAATGAGCTTTTCTGGGGTTCTTACATTTTGCAAGAGGAAATATTTTTTAAAAAAAAATTTTTATTTTATTTGCAAAAAGGACAAAAATTCGAACTTTCGTGTCAAAATTAATAATTTTTCGAGCGGTCGATGCGCCTTTAAAAAAACACCTGGAAATGATCATTTTGGAATTTTTTCGGGTTTTTGAACTTGGAGAGAAATATGTCCTGGAAAAACAACTTCAAAAACTCAAATTCAGGAATATGGTCGAAAAACAAGATAATGAGCTTTTTGAGGATTCTTGCCGTTTGAGAGAGAAAATATTCAAAAAAAAATTTTGAAGTCATTCGCAAAAAAGGACGAAAATGCAGTTTTCGCGCCAAAATGAAAATTTTTGTGAGGTCCATGCACCTTTAAAGACAACTGTAATGAGATTTTTGGAATTTTTCGGGTTTCGCATTTGGAGAGGGAAATATCCTGGAAACAAAACTTCAAAAAAACTCGAGTTCAGAAATGTGATCGATTTGCTTTTTGGAAAAAAATGCGGACTTTCGGGTCGAAATTACAATTTTGAAGGGTCCATGCGCCTTTAAAAAAAGCAACTATTTTTTTAGAAATTTTTTTGGGTTTTGGTAGTTTGAGAAAAAAATATCTTGAAAAAAATTTTTATTCGAAAAATTGAACTTAAGGTAAAAAAATATAACCGAATCGTTTGCTTTGAGAAAAAAAAAATGCGGATTTTCGGGTCGGTATTAAAATTTTTGAAATGTCCATGCGCCTTAAAAAACAACTGGAAATGAGCTTTTTGAAAATTTTTTCCGTGTTTTTGAGCTTTTGAGGAGGAGAATATTTGAAAAAAGCTTGAACTTTGTTCATAAAATAAAGCCTTACCGCACAAAAAAACATTGAAAAAAATCCGATTTTTCCGAACAAAATTAAAGTTTTTTTGAAGGATCGATGCGCCTTTAAGTTCATGATTTTTTTAAATCTAATTTTAAAAAAAACTGTTTATTGCATCTTCAATGTGAGAGTACATGTGCAATCGACTTTCATTGATTTGACTGTGTGTTAAACGGCGGCAGGAGCTGTGGCTTAGACAGAGAAGTTGTGATTTTCGCTCGTAGAACATCAGGTACAAGAGAGGTCGTAGGAAGAAGTACGGTGCCGGCTTTCCAAAGGCCGATGGCAGAGATTGAGCCTTTTCGCTGCATGCAGCTCCCAATATTATCTACCCCGGAGGGATGAAAGGCTTGGTCGACCTCGGGGGAACTCGAACCTACGACCTCGCGGACGTTAGAAATGAGTCTTACCAGCTGAGCTATGCCGCTCCCTTTTAAATCACATTAACGTTTTCATAACCGTTTTTACTATTTTCAGGGTAAAGACCTACCATTCGGCGTACCTCCGGAACCTTGAACTATTCCCTCGGATCACTTATCGGGCGGCTCCTGGTGGGTTCTTGGAAAAAAAAAATTAGCAATTAGTAAAACTATCTTACGGGCACTAGGAGCAGAATGGGACATTTACAATCTCAGGTCACTACCGGGCTTGCGAGCACGATTTTTTCTCGGGAAATGCGACCCCCGTCGAAGCAGATCCAGATATGGCGCCGGTGGCGCCATTCCGGATCCGGAAAAAGCCGGAAATCACCTGGCACGGGCTTCAGTTCGACGATGAGTACGTCATCGTCATGACCGACGTCGGATTCGGAACCTTGAACTACCTGGTCGTCGACTTTCCGAAGGATCCCAAGGTTTAGAAATTTTTGGAATCCTGTGTATACTCATTTTTTCGTTGACTCAAATTTGGTTCTTTTTTCTTTTTTAACGATTCGTTATCCCAGTTTTTGGTTTTTCCTGCGCCTTTAAAGGAGCATAGGCCGATTTTAAAAAAAGGTCTCAAAGCGAAGTTTTACTCACCTTTTGATTCAAGCCGACTCAAAAAGTCTAAACTTTGCAAATTTGGTTTTTTTTGTATGATGATCCTTTTCATCAGTTTTTGACTTTTTAAGGATTTTAAAGGAGCATAGGCTGATTTTTAAAAGGTCTCGAAGCGAAGTTTTACTCACCTTTTGATTCAAGTTGACTTTGAAAGTTTAATATCTCTGTTTTTTTTTCCCTTGTTATATGATCTCTGTTTTTGATCCTTTAAAGGAGCATAGGTGGGTTTTAAAAAGGTCTCGAAGTTGTCTAAAACCTTTTTTTATCTTGTTAAAATTCCGCTATCTTAGTTTTTATCATTTAACTGTTTTAAAGGAGCATAGGCTGATTTTTTAAAAGGTCTCGAGGGGAAGAGTATTTTTTCAGTCAAGTAGAATCAAGAAAAAACGGAAACCATCAGAATTTGTTCGTTATACCGGTCCGTATTCGTAGTTCTTGAAGATTTTTGGTGATATTCTGTTCGAAGGTCCTTCCTGGGACTTTAAAGGAGCAGAGGCAGTTTCTAAAAAAAGGTCTCGAAATAACGAGACGTTTTATCTTGGTGATCCTTTCCTAGGTTGACGTAAAATTGGGAGAATCTATATTTTCAACTGGTTTTTTTTTTGCTGTATTTTGAAGCTTGTTGGGAATATTTTATTCTAAAACCTTCCTGGGATTTTAAAGGAGCATAGGCCAATTTTAAAAAAGGTCTCGAGATGAAAAGCCTTTTTTCGAATAACGGTCATCAGAAGTGTAGAAGGTCCCAGAAAGATCAAACTCCATACAAGAAAGTTTTGTTCATAAAAGCGTTTTTTCAGCTTTCCCGACGGGACTGTACCTCTTTACATTTAAAATTTTATGAATTTTTTTTTTCAGAAAAATCTTTCTTATTACCTTTTCCAGTATCTTTATGTGTTCGTGGAGAGATGGTGTATCATTCTCTCCGGACTCTGAACTTTAAAGTTTCATAAACGTCCGCACTTTCCAGATCCTGAAAGACTACGAACCGTCGGAGAACTTCCGGCCCTCGCCAAACCCCCTGGTGATGCTCGTCTTCAGAAAATCACCAACAGAAGTCGAAGCCCTGAAATCGGCCGAAGATTTCGATTTGCCCTCTTTCATGCTGAAACATGGACTTGAAGATCGTGAGTTTCAAAATCGATAATGATCATTTTTCTTCTGTTTGCTCTGCGGATTTGAGTGGATTCGATCGGAGGATAAGTTGGACAAGATTTGGAGACATGGGGGGTTTTTCAAAAAAAGCTTGATGTTGAAATTTTTCCTTGAACTTTTCTATAAAAATTTTTTTCGAAAAAAATTCTTCTGTGAAAATTTTTTTAGTGGCCACTATAGAGGCTCGCCAAGACTGCTTGGAGAGGACACTAAAGTGGCCACTAAACCCACCTCCATAGTGGCCACTATTTTCCGTTTAGTGGCCACTTTAGTAGTTTTTCATCCAGTATTCCTTCCAGTAACTCTGATAATTTTAAAACAAGGATTGGACCAGTTATGTTTATCCATTGACCCCTAAAGTGGCCACTCAAATTTTTAGGGGTCTAGTAGTAGTACTTAGACTTCTATAGTGGCCACTAACTTAACTAACCCCTTAAGCGGCCACTAACTTAACTACTATAGTGGCCACTAATTTCTAACCCCTTAAGTGGCCACTAATTTGACTACTATAGTGGCCACAAAACGTCAAAACCCTATACTGGCCACTAAAAATTTTCCCAGTGTGCGATCAATATTTCAAGTCAATATTCACTCGTTTTTTCAAAGATGGAGTAACTTATCAAGCTTATTTTTTTGATTAATATCAACGTTTGGCTGTTTTTTATGAAAAAGTAAAGGTAATTTACCCAATCTTTTCGAAAAAAAAAATTGACCTTTAGCTGTTGAAAAAAAGTTACTTATCAAGCTTCTTTTTCCAGATCTGGTTGGATTATCGGTCGTCGTGGTCGGTACTGACGCCTTCGCCATTGAAAAGCAGCGACTTAAGGGAAACGTCGATAATTGTCACAGTCTACTTAGAGACAGTGGGATTTTTATTTTCATTTTTCCAACATGGAGGGTCATTTTGGTTGGGAGTTTTCTGAAAATTGTCCAGAACCCTCCCTGATGTACCAGAAGAAAATCCTGAAAGTCTTAAAGGCATAGGGGCAGTAAAAAAATGGGATTTCAGGGGAAAGCAGTATCTTATATAGTTTTTCTTTGCGAATCGAATGGTGTACTCAAAAAAATTAAAGATGTGACAACTTTAGAAGAAAAACGCGATTTTACTTTCCCGCTTTTATTTTTGAAAAAAGCTTTGGATCGGTGCTCAGACAACTGATTACAGTAGCCGTACACGCGATGTTGCGGACGTCTCATTAGACTCGCATTTTGTGAGAAATAACCGGATATCTGCTTCAAATTAAAGGTTTCTTCTCTGAAAAAACATTTAATCAAACAAAAAACACACATTGATAATAAAGAAAACACAAATAATCGCTATCCAAATCGAAACCTGTGTAAAATCATCATTTTTCACCAAAGAAGCATTTTTGCGATCAAAGTTTGCAAATTATACATGAATAGAAAGTTTTTGTGACGAAAAGAACTTTGGTGACAACAGAAAAAATTGAAATTTGAAAGAAACGAAGAAAAAAGCGAAAATCCGGAAGATGGGAAAGCCTGTTGTCCATAGAGCAATTTCACTGCTAAACCCCCCTTTTTGAGGGAACTCAAGATTTCCTTTCTCCGACTTTGAATTATTTTTTCTCCGAAATTAAGAAATTCGGTACGTTTTCAAGTTTACCGTTCGATTCGCAATGAAAAGCTCTACAAAGTACTGCTTTGAACTGAAACACCGTTTTTTACTGCCCCTATGCCTTTAACCTTCAAAATTCCCTAGTTTTCGAGAAATAAGGGCTCAAAGCCTCGAAAACAGCCCATTTTGACGGATTTTGAGGTGTCCTTTTCCGAGAACTAGGCGTTTTTGTAGGTTGAGACTTTCAGAATCTTTTTTTGATACCTCAAGAAGTAATCTGGCAAATTTTTAGGAAATAACCTTCCTTGTACGGAGAAAAAAAAACTTGATAGCTTCATTTTTTTGTCTATTTTTTCCTGTAGTTATGAAAAATTCGCCACCAAACCCATTTTTTGAAGTTTTTCAGGATTTTTAGACAAACCATAGGCAAAGTCGGAAAGGGTAGAAAGAGGCTCCATAGAAATGTTCCTTTTTGCTGCCATTTTGCGCCATTTTCTCATCTCTTATGCACCATTTTTGCAGCCTCTCCCTTTTTCCACCGTTTCTCGAGCCTTTAAAATACCAGAAAAATGGAAGTCTCGAGAAGGGGACCCATTTTGCTGCCTTTCTGCTACCTTTTTGCTGCCTTTTTGCTCCCCTTTTACTGCCTTTTTTGCTGCCTTTCTGCTGCCTTTTCACTGCCTTTGTTGAGCCTCTCCCTTTTAACGGCCATTATCTACCAATCCGTCTGTGCCCGAGGCTATAAAAAGCTTCAGAAAAGTCGTTTTGACCTCAAAATTCGAAATCACCGTAGAATTTAGATTTTGAAAAAAAATTAAAAGAAGAATTAATCAACTAATTTCCGGTTGATTTTGGAGCCAAAACTTCGATCTTTACCCTAATTTTTCCAGAAATCTCTCGAAGCACGGAAACTACGCCGCCAATCCTGGCCAAGTTGCCAACCGAGGAACTCAATTCATGGCTTTCGGTTTCCTTTGAGCAGAAACCTCTTCAAGGGAATGTCTGCTGTCAGAGGGTCAAACAGACGTTAGTTTCCTTGAAAATAATAATCATACTTTGTGAAAAAAATTATGGAAAACTGTAGAAAAATGAGAGCTAATTGAGAAGAGCTCACGGCGTTTTTGTTAGTAAAAGAAAATCAAAAAAATAAAAAAATGAAAAGGGCGGAGTCAAAACCCCCGCCGTTCCCATGTGACGTCATGGGAAACAAGCGTGAACAAAAGGGAATATTAAAGGCGCATTTTCAATGGGTCCTGAGACGGAATCATTTCTCATTTAAAAAACGCGATTTTTCTGGTTTTTTTTTTCTTGAAAAGCATATGCTATGTTCAAAGTGATTCCGCGAAGTTTGAAATATCCGCCAAAAATTATAAAACATGACTAAATTTCGGAAATTCAGACATGATTTTGAATTTGGCGAAAATTACTTTGAGCATGTGCGAGAGCGCCGCGGTGCATGCACACGACACACTAAACTTCACGGACAGAAATGGGCGTGGCTTCTGAGGAATTTCTGAGAGGCCCCTATTTGCTGGGTTTGCTGTTTTAGGGACCTCTATAGGGGCGAAATAGGGCTCCCTTTAGGGGGAGCGTAGGGGTCCCTCATTGAGCCCCTATGGAACCCCTATAGGGACCCCTCAAAAGTTTCACAGTTCTTCAAAAGAAAACGCCGTCCGATATGAAAAACTGGAAATGGTAAAATGCGAATAACTGCAAATGGTTAAGGAGAAAGAACTAGGGGAGAAATTGAGAAAAATTGTGAAAAGAATTGCGAGAAACTGTAATATAATGTATAATAATTGTTTTTTTCAATAGGAAGCTTGAAGCTTGTAGATTACCGAAAAAAAATAAATTTTTTTGAAAAATACACTATTTTTTTCGAATTTACATGCACGTGTAGATGAAAATGCAGATGGAGAAATTTTTGCTCACTTTTTTTCCTTTCTGAAATAAAAAAATAAAAAAAGACTCGGTAGTTGGAAAAAGTGGAATTTTTAAAGAGAATAAAAAGGAATTTTTCGGACCTCTGAACTTTGGTAGTATCTCGAGAAAGCAATTTGGTGGAAAAGAAACTGTATTTTTAATATAAAATTATTATAATAAATAAAATTATCGAAGTAGTTATGAAATTCGGTTTTTTTCAACTTTTTTTATCATATCAAAATTTGTTTGTATAGCAATTTTTTTGAAGTTTTTTTAAAAGCTTCAACTGGTTGCTAGAACCGAATAAAACTGAAAAAAATCAATTTTAAAAAAATTTCGGAAAGGAAAAAGTCAATTTGAATGAAGATTCTATAAAATTTCGGCCTTTTACAGAGCTTCAACTCTCTACCTGGACCCCCTGGGAGAATCTACAATTTCGGCTTTGGCCGCTCTATCGCCACCTTCATTTTCTTCCCTGAGAATCTCCTCGACCAGCTCAAATTATGTCAATTATCATCGTCAGACTCGCAATTTCGTGTGTAAGTTTTTCAAAAAAAAAAAATCGAGCCATTTATCGAATATTACTGTTTCACCTTTTCATCAAATCGAAAAAATATTGTAAGTTAGAGTTCTTTTCTTATGTGTCGAAGAGGCTTACGATATGTTTTAAAGTGGTACTTAGGAATGCCGGAGTGGTCCCTAGAGGGGCGTTTGTTCCCCCTTAAGTGACCACTTTACCACAACCCTTACAAGGGGCTCTAGCGTTCCCAAAAGTGGTCGTTTCAAGGGTTTTAGTTAGTGGCCTCTCTAGGGGAGCATACTAGTGGTCCCTATACGTCTTTTTATCTATCCAATCTTAACAAAAATTTATAGACCCCTATAGGGACCACTTGAGCTTTAGGAATCCAGGGCTCAGCCCCTGAACACCCAGAAGGGACTACCTTATTTTTAGCCCTCTAGGGAGCACTATTTTGTCCCCTATAGTCGCTGTTTTTTCCTGGCCCCTCTAGGGACCCCTCTGGTGTTTTAAGTGAAGGTTTTAGGGATCAAATTTCTTCGGTTTTTGTCAAAAATCGTTCTTAAATGACACAAGCAAAGGAGTTATTTTATTTTACGGTTGGAAGATTTTTAGAATTGGGGCAAAAAATTTTCTTGATGTACCAAAGGGTGCTCCTGAAAGAGGTAATTTTTGAAAACTTCTGGTTTTTGAGAAATAAGAGCAACAAATGTCTAAAATAGCCTTTTTAAAGAATTTTGAGGGTTTTTTTTTGGGATTTTGAGGTGTCCTTTTCCAAAACTAGGAAGTTTTGAAGGCTGTGACTTCCAGAATCGTCTTCTGGTACATCAAAAAAATGTTTCTGGCTCTTTTTTCAGATTTAAATTTTTCAGGAAATTCCCAACTGCTAAGTAAAAAGACCTCCCTTGTGAGGAGATATTCAGAATTTGAAAAAAAAAATAATTTCTAGCCCTTTCCGACGAACTGTTCACAATCGCCATCGTCGACGGCCACGGAGGTCATCTTCATTATCTTGAAGTTGACATTCCGGCGGCGAATTTGAACGCCGCGTCTGGCAATGGGATTACGGTAAGAGCTTTGTACCGTATCTTGGAAAAAAAAGATCCTTTTTCATCTTTTTTTTTCGCTTTATTTTCAACCTGGGAAAGTTTTTAGTGGCCACTATAGAGGCTCGAGAAGGACTACTTGGAAAGGACACTAAAGTGACCACTAAACCCACCTCTATAGTGGCCACTTTTTTACGCTTTAGTGGCCACTTCAGTAGTTTTTCATCCAGTATTCCTTCCAGTAACCCTGATAATTTTAAAACAAACAGATTGGACCAGTTATGTTGATCCATTGACCCCTAAAGTGGCCACTAAAATTTTTAGTGGTTTAGTAGTAGCCCTTAGACCTCTATAGTGGTCACTTATTTTCAACCCCTTAAGTGCCCACTTATTTTACTACTATAGTGGCCACAAAACGCCGAAACCCTATAGTGGCCACTAAAAATTTTCCTAGTATAAAATCAATTTTGCGCTTTCAGTTGATGACTGTATGAGGTTATACAAAGGTTTTTCGAATATTAAAAAAACTAAAATAATTATTATGTTGTTCTTCTTTGTTTATACCTGTGTAACTGAAAAAAAAACTTGCGTTTTTTACGAAATTGTAGAAAAAAAGTACTGTATTTCGTGAATTTTCCACGCTTACCGTAATCCTTTGATACGGTGTTTGGCGCTAAATCCAAATTTGAACTTGAAACGTATTTTTCTCTCAAGTTTTTCTATTTTCTTGGTAGTTAACGATAATTTTTTCAAGTTGAAAGTTCATAAGAATGATTGGAGTTCCACATTTTTCGCCTATTCCCCCAAAAAAATTTCAGACCTGGCCTAACTTTCGACGATTTCGAAAATGAGGCTCTTTCTGAAAAAAATTGAGACAGTTTTTTTACGAAATACGCAAAATTGGGTCCTACAACGATTGTTATTTTCACGCGGGAAATTTTTGAATTTTCGGTTATTTTTGTACCAAAATTTTGAATTTGCGCAAAAAAGTCACCATATCGCGATATATCGTTGTAGAACCCATATTCTCAAAATTTCAATTTTGCAAATTTCGCGAGCTTGTTTCAAACGAAAAACGCACCAATTTCGAAACCGCCGAAATAACTTTGAACACGACATTAAATAAAGTTTCTCTATACTATTTTTTTAATGCTTTCGTAAACATTTCTTATCAAAAAAAGTACCCAGAAATTCATTAAAAAGGGTACGATTCGTCCACTAAAAAAAGGCGCGTTATTTGTTTGCCCTACGGCCGTTCGTTTCTCAAATTGAAGCCGTCGCTTTAATTAATTTGTTACTTTACGTTTTTTTTTACGTGTTCCGAAATTCATTGGGACTGAAAAAGTGAAGCTGGCGGCTTTTTTTCGAATTTTCAGGGGCTAGGAAAATCTGAATTACGACTTTCTGTGAAAAAAAGGATTTCTTGGAGTTAAAAAAAGTTTTTTTGAACTTTAGGAACTCCAGAGTGGTCCCTATAGAAGTTACGGAGAAAACAGCCCCTATAGGAGATAAAAAATGCCCCATAGAGGGCTAAAATTTAGGTAATCCCTTAAGAGGTCTCTCTAAGCCCCATTAAACTCAAGGATCCCTATAGGTTTTTTTTCATTCAATTCATCGAGTTTCTCGCATGAAAATGCTTCTTCTTATAGAGGTTTCACTTTGTCCCCTATAGGGGCCACTCCTGCAAGCTTTAGTGACCTCTGAGTGGCCCCTAGAGGGGACCACTTTGAGCGCCCCCAAAGTTGCCTCTATAGGGACCACTCTGCCGTTCCCAAGTGATTGTGGAAAATATAAATTTTATCTTTCCAGCCTATATTCATAAAAAAATATCCTTTTTTTCCGTAGTTCGCGCGGAATGCATTTGTTAATTTTATTTTTACTTATTTAATTGAAATAAAGAAGTTTTGAAACTGTAATTTTATCTAACACTTATCGAAATTTCTTTCCACCGAAAAAAGTCGGAGCCGAATTTTCAAATTTCGCGGTTAAAAAAAGGTTTTTTCTACTTAGGAACGCTAGAGTGGTCCCTAGAGGGGTTAAGAGTAAAATCTTTCGGGGGGTTAAGAGTAAAATTTCTCGGAGAAATAGTAGTGGTCCCTATAGGGGCTGTTTCTTTTTCCGAACCCTTAGAGAGATCACCTAAGTTTTATCCCTTTAGGGACCACTTTTTCAAAAAAAAGGTTTTATCTTTATGAACGCCGGAGTGGTCCCTAGAGGGGTTAAAAGAAAACCACTGTAGAAGTAATGATAGTGGTCCCTATAGGGGCTGTTTCTTCCTCCAACCCCTAGAGGGACCACTTAATTTTTACCCCTTTAGGGACCACTTTTCTACCCCATAGGGGTTGTTTCTTTTCCCTTTCCCCCTATAGGGGCCCCTCTGCAGTTTCTAAGAATGTTTTCAAAAATATTAGAATCTACATCGCTTGGACTCAACTTTTCAAAATAAAATTTCAAAAATAAAGTTTTTTGAGATCTTTTCAAAGTTTCTTCAATCTCCTGACCACAACTTCCTAATCAGATCTGCTCAAATGAGATTCGAGTAAATCCTACGGTAGTGATTCCATTGGATTGAGCTTCGAAAATTGAATCGGAAGTCAGGGAGAAGGCCAATTTGAGGGCTCAGCTCTTTGTTCTACGCTGTGCGTAAGAAAAAAGGAAAGGTTTCAGGATTTTTGAGAGAAAAAAACCAAGTTTTTCGATCGTGTTATTCAATTTTTTTAAAAAGTATAGTTTATTTTTTTCCAAGCTTTTTCAATTCGAAAAAAATCTCATAAATGAATACTTTTTTTGAAAGTTTCATGCCTTTTTGCAAGTTCCTTCTTCAATTTTGTGGATTCTCATAGATTTTTTTGAGGGGTTAGGATTCAAAAAAACCGGAATTTTTTTGAACATTTTATATTATTTTTTTAAAGTATCGCTTATCTTTGCAAGCTTTTAAATTCGGAAAAATCGAAAAAATTTGTATTTTTGAAAATTTTCTAGCTCAATTTTGAAAGTCCCTTTCATTTTTCCGATCCATTTTCCCTTGAAAAAACAACAGATCATCTAATTTTCGATGTAATCTCGAACAAAAATGACGTTTCCGCAGAATATTTTGAAAGACCGTGCGCGGAAAATGACGTCAGCCGCTATTTGTTGTTTTCCCCCGCAGACTGAAGCTTTTCGAACAGTTCTGAAGGTTGTAAGATTGTTTTTTGAGTGTTTTCTTAGGGTTTTTATATGTTCTGGGTTCGATGATCAATGTCACTATTTAACTTTCGATTCAAAAAAAAAAATTTAAAGATCCCTATAGGGATCACTTAAGCTTTATGGGCTCGTTGGAAGATCTTGTTCATAACCTTCTATTGAATTCATCATAATTTCAAAAATACTGAATTTTGCTTGTATCTTCACAAATACAACTCGAAAGTTTTTCAAGAAAAAAATTTAGTTCAAAAATCAAGTCGTTTATCGAATATCACTGTTTCACCTTCTCATCAAATCGAAAAATGATTGAAAGTTAGAGTTTTTTTTCTTATGCGTCGAAGAAGCTTACGAAATTTTTAAGGTTCTACTTAGGAATGCCGGAGTGGTCCCTAGAGGGGAATTTGTTCCCCCTTAAGTGACCACTTTTCCACAACCCTTATAAGGGGCTCTAGCGTTCCCAAAAGTGGTCATTTCAAGGGTTTTAGTTAGTGGCCTCTCTAGAGAAGCATTCTAGTGGTCCCTATACTTTTTTTATCTATCCAATCTTAACAAAAATTTAAAGACCCCTATAGGGATCACTTAAGCTTTAGAGGCTCAGGGGGAAGATCTTGTTCATTACCTTCTATTGAATTAATCATAATTTCAAAAAAATATTGAGTTTTGCTTGTAACTTCACAAATACAACTCGAATATTTGAATAAGTATGCCTTTTTTTTCCTGGCCATGCTGGAAATATCGGTCGGTTTGGTCACCTTTTCATTACGCCGATTTTTTCAACCTTTCAAAATTCAAAAAGTTCTTTGTGCGGTATAAAGGTGTTTACGGTTTCAAAGTACCTATTTTTTGATTATTTGACGAGTTTCAAAGTCAGTTTTCGTAAGAATCTGGCCATTATATTTGTAAAAATATTTTTTTTTTTTCCGAATTTTTTTCCATTTTCGCCAGGAAATTCTCTCAAATCCTAATGAAAACTATTTCGCACTTTCGATTCCAGGCCAAATTAAAGAGATTGACAGGAAATGTATTGAAAAAATGAAACCTCCTATTTTGCGCCGCCAATAATTGGTTTTTCGAGACCCAAATTCCAACCACAATTGAAAATTCTACACAGTTTGGACACTTAAACAATTTCGAAATGAAAACTTTGAAATTTTCAAGAAATAGCGAAAAAGTGACCAAACCGAAGACTTTTGCAAATACAAAGTGTTTTTCTGGTAACTTTCTTCGTCAATCAAGAAGCCAAGAAACCGCAATGTTCTATAGGAAGCTTTTCACTAATTTGAGCAGCTTCTTAAGGGATTTTTTGCTTGTTTTCCTCGAGAATCAATGAAAAAAGGCCAAGAAACCGCAATATTTCACAAATTTTGCAAGAAGCGGCAGATTTTCACTAATTAGAGCAACCTCTTAAGGGTTTTTCGGCTTGTTTTCCTCATAAATCAATGAAAAAAGGCCAAGAAACCGCAATGTTCTATAGAAAGCTTTTCACAAATTTGAGCGACCTCTTAAGGGTTTTTTCCTCGAGAATCAATGAAAAAAGGCCAAGAAACCGCAATATTTCACAAATTTTGCAAGAAGCGGCAGATTTTCACTAATTAGAGCAACCTCTTAAGGGTTTTTCTGCTTGTTTTATTCATAAATCAATCAAAAAAGCCAAGAAACCGCAATTTTCTGCACAAAGTAACATCTTTTCACAAACCTAAGCAACCTCTTAAGGGTTTTTCTGCTTGTTTTCTTCATAAATCAATGAAAAAGGGCCAAGAAACCGCAATTTTTCACAAATTTTACAGTGAGCGGCAGATTTTCACTGATTAGAGCAACCTCTTAAGGGGTTTTCTGCTTGTTTTCTTCATAAATCAATCAAAAAAAAGCCAAGAAACCGCAAAGTTCTATAGGAGGCTTTTCACTGATTTGAGCGACCTCTTAAGGGTTTTTCGGCTTTATTTTTCTCATATATCAATGAAAAAGCCAAGAAACGTTACAGAAGGCGGCGTACACGGCGCTCGGACCGCGGCGGCCGTCCACCTGCGGCAGCTTCGTCTTCGTTTTGCTGTCGCAGTCGGCGTCTCTCGCCTCGTTGCCGTCGCTCTGCACGGCCATGTGCGAACAAAGGAGGAAATTCAGGTTTTGATGCTTCTTCCCACATCATATTTTGCACGTCAACTCGAGAGAGAGAAAATTTAATTTGTACCTTTGTCATTGTCGGTTTTGTGTGTGTTGAACGTTTCGACATGACAAACGACAAGAAAAAAAAGAAAAAAATGGCTGAATTGTTGGAGAAAACGCGCTCTGTTGATAGTTTCAAGTGGTTGGGTTTGAAAATTGAAAAAAGGCCTAATTTTTTTTTTGGAGTTCTCAAACAAGCTAGAGGTTAAAAATTACCTTTTTAGAAGGATTTTGCTTGGTTAGAAGTTAGAAGTCTTCAAATCTCAATAAGGATTGAAAAAAAGACCTATTTCAAGCAAAAAGATGAGCTTTTTGGAAAAATTGAAGCTGTCAGATCAGAGAAATTAATATTTGCAAAAAAGTGAATTTTTGGAGAGGTTTTTGGAAGGTGAAAATGGGAAATGCTTGCCAGAAGCCTGTTGAAAAGCTTCTGGAAGGCTTCCGGCAGATTTTCTTGAGTAGAAGGTTTTGGAAGGCATGTGGAAGGCGTTCGACCACTGATTAAAAAAAAAAATGATACTCAAGAAGTTTCTTCTGGAGTTAAAAGATAATATAGTCTGTGCCACGACTTCAAATTTTACCGAACGACATTCCGCTGTTCCGCTGCGTGCGGTCGCGAAGCGTCTTTCGAATCTAGGTTGCTGGAAAGCTTCCAAACGCCTTCCGAGGAACCAAAAGTCGAAGCTTTCAATCTTTACCTTAATATAGTCTGTTTGCCACGACTTGAAATTTCCCGGAACGACATTCCGCTGTTCCGCTGCGTGCGTTCGCGAAGCGTCCACCGAATACAGGTTGCTGGAAAGTTTCCAAACGCCTTCCGAGGAACCAAAAGTCGAAGCTTTCAATCTTTACCTTAATATAGCCTGTTTGCCACGACTTCAAATTTTACCGAACGACTTTCCGCTGTTCCGCTGCGTGCGTTCGCGAAGCGTTTTTCGAATTGAGGTCACGCTTTCAATTGACTTTTATTGCTGTGGGAGCACAGGAAAGTAGAGTACCTTAATAAAAAGAAAAAAATAATTAAAAAGCGCGACCAAAGGCGCGCAGCGGCACAGCGGAATGTCGTTTGGTGAAATTCCAAGGTACACAGACTATATAATGAATTTTTTTATAACGTGTCAAAAACCCCTTAATTTTTGCTCTTTTCCAGAATCGAGCTGTTCAAACAGCAGTGGTCGCTGAAATTGTCGGCCGTTTCGTTCACAGACGTCTGCTACGACCTTCCCTTCGCTTATCACGTTCTTTCTGAAGAAATGGCCGCCAGCCAAAAACGGCTCAATACAACGGTGCCGGAAAGCGACACGTCCTTCTTGGCCAAAAGGACCAGAATGTAAGAATTTTCATAGAAAAAATGTTCATAAACTGAAAAAAACACATATTAAATGTTTTATATTAAAGGAAAGCGGAGATTTTGAAATAAAATATTCTGTTTCATGCAAATTTTACGATTTTTGAGGAAATTTTGTGATTTTTGAGGAGAAGAAGTTAACTCTTTCTAGACTGTTATTCAACAAATTAATGAGTTTAAAAAGAAACGGAAAAAGAAAAAAAAAACTGACCGAAAAATGGAAGAAAACAACGACACTCCACTGGACGGTTGTGCGCTGGAGCTAAATTGCTTCTTGTCTTGCATTTTTGAAGCAAATTTTTTTACCTTCTTTTTCCGTTTTTATATAATAAATTTGACTTTTTACATTATTTATGGGTTTCAACTTTGCTAAAAGCTGTTTTTTTAATTGCTGTAAATGATCAAAGGCTGAAGTTTTTTTGCTTTTTAATTTATAGTTTTAGTTTTTTTGATTTTTTTCATTCAATAAATTAGTTATAGTTAGTTTCTAAGTTATCCCCTGTTGTTTTTTTGAAGCCGCAGACGGCTTAAATAACTTGGAATACAATAAAAATACACTTTTATAATTGAAAAAAATTCAAATTAAACTTCTTTTTTTCATCTTTTTTTCATTAACCAAATTCAACGTTTTATCGTTTTAGCACGGTACAAAAGCTTTCTGAGCAGAACAATTTTTTCAATTAATTTATGATTCCGGCCTCTTTTTTTGAAAGTTATGAAGGGAATTTTTAAAAAAATATTGCTTCACTCATATGATTTTAAAGCGCTTCAAATAACTCAATTTTCATGAATAATATCGATTTTTTTTTCATTTATTTATTTTTTATTATTAACTGCTTTCATTTCAGGGTGAAACTTCGAGCCTCAAACGCGTCGACGGAAATTTGTGCGGCTTTCCATGTTTCGCCGCACCATCGATGTCCGATTTCGGCTTCAAACTTGCCTCAAATTGCTTCGATTTTGATATTTTTTGGTTTTTACCTTTTTGTTTCATAGATTCTTTGTTGAGATGTGTAAATTTAATGCCGAAAATGTTGATTTTTGATAATTTCTTCACATTTTTTTCTCATAGTTCTTCATTCAAAAGCTTGTTGTGTTAATTTCTCGACTTTTCATTGCCAAATTTCATTTTCAAGTGAAGTAATTTTGAAGCAGGAACCATAGATTTTATTTAATTATGACCTGACTTTTGCAAATTATTGATTTAATTGATTATTTTTTTCCAAATTTTTTTAGGAACTGATGAATCATGACCAAACTATCTCCCCACCACACTCGAACTACGTGTCATTCCTTTGTTTCTTCGTCTTTTTTCATTTTTTTTATGTGTCCCCGTGTTTTTTTTCAACCTTCTCTGAAGAAGGAGAAGCGGAAAAAAAAAGAAAATTTGAATAAAGTTATGGATTTTTGAATGGAATATTTCGAAAAAAAATGGTTTTCAAGGCCGAAAGGATACAGAAATGATGAATTTTTCGATGATTATTGCAGGGTTTTTTTCAGGAATGTCCGGAAGAAAAAAATGGCTGGAATTATAAGAAAAATTCCCGGTATTGAAAAATAAAGGTGAGATATTTCAAAATATATATTTTTTTCTGAAGTTTTGTGATCAGATTTTTGAGTTTGATAAAAAAAGAATTTAATAATTCTCAATTTTTTTGGTTCATCAAAGCATTAGGAAACTCACTTATATTCTTTTTTCTTGACAAAAAAATCTATTTTTTTATTTGAAAGAGAACATTCACCTTATCAGAATAACGAAGGGACGGTTTTTCAACGAAATGGGATGGCTTTAAGTCCAAACTTGAAGAAAATCGAAGAAGAAACGATGGAAATGAAGAAGTTAGTTTTTGATTTTAATGGGATTTTTTTCAAATTGGTATTACGAAAGGCTTGTCGGCTTCCTTTGGGGTATTCAGAACCGATTCAACAAAAAAATTTACTTTATAAAAGGAAAAATCAGTGATTTATGGTGGGAAAAAGGCCACTCAATCAGAATTATGGTGTCAAATGGAATTTTTTAAGTTTTTTTTTTCTGAAGCGATTAAAAATGGTCGGCTTCTATGATAAGCTTTTTTGCAAAATTGAATATGTTTTTTGACAAGTTAATTTTTTTTCGTTTTTTTTCACGGCGTTTTTGCGAAACCAAAAACATGGTGGGCGGAGCCGAAATATTAAAGGCGCAGGCCGCCGTATAACCAGAGGTCTTTAAGAAGAATCGGAATTTCTCTACGTGAACGCAATTTTCTGCGCGAAAGCGGCACAGTGTATGCACACGATAAACGACAATTTACGGAGAAAAAGTGGGCGTGGCTTCGTCGAAAAACGGCGTGTTTTGTGAATTCAGTGGCGAAATTTTAGGTTTTCAAAAAATATTTTTGGAATTTGGGAGATGTTTAGAAGGCTGGATTTCCTTAAAAGTTCTCCCAAAAAACTTCTTAAATCTCAAATTTTGCGTCTTAGTTTCTAAAAGAATCAACTTTTATCTTAAATTTTGAGCAAGAAAAAATGTTTCGAGTTAATTTTTGGTGGAAATAACTTGGGATCGAACTTGCGACCCTTTGAACTGCAGAATTACTTACAACCCGTTGCGCTACAGATTTTGCGATAATTAATGGCCTTCTCGAAATTTTTCAATCAGTTAGGAATCTTCGAGGGGATTCTACATATTTTTATAATTTTTTTCAATTATTCAGTCCTTCTCAATTTGAAGTTTCTTTTTCTGAGGTTGTTTAAAACTTCGTTCAAAAAAGACAATTATTGCAAATTTTTGAAAAATCTACTCAATATTCAGACAATCCACCGTAAGAAAAACGGCAGTCCTTTTTTAAAATTTTTTAAAAATCCAATACATAAACGTACCTTTCAACTACAGTCTGACCCGACTGCGCTCTCTTTTTCTCTCACCGACACATGAAAATAGCCCGGAAAAATAAGAGATTGCAGAGAATTTGGACCTTTTTCAGTTTTCCTCTTGGCAACTCTGAAACCGTCAAGAAACGTGACGGTTCGAACGTTTCGAAACAATCGAAAAGCCCTTTTTTCCCCGCTTCTCTTTCACTACAACATGACCTTGGTCGAATTCCGCGGCTATTGTGTCCACATACACGCTTTTCCCTGTCGCTAACAAATTGCTTCTCGTCTACTACAACAAGAATGAGAAGAAGGAACTGTGTAACGTCCGTTTGAAGTGTCGGCGCAATGATTATTTGCACTTTTTGGGCGGTTTCTTAGTAAAGAAGTCTAAATTTTTGAATGGTTTTTTTGAAAGAAAATAGAGAAAAATTTGATTATTTAGCAGTTTTGGGCAGTTTTGAAAAGAAAAAAAGTTCAAATTTTTGGATGATTTTTTTGATGTAAAATTGAGGAATTTTTGATAATTTAGCTGATTTGGGCAGTTTTTTTGAAGAAGTCCAAGTTTTTGAACGCTTTCTTGAAGAAAAAAATTGATGAAAGGTTGTTTATTTGGCACTTCTGGGTGGTTTTTTTCAGAGAAGACGCTCAAATTTTTGGATAGTTTTTTTGAAGAAAAAAATGGAGAAATATGAGGAAAAAAATTAGGTAGAGACTTTTTATTCGTAAGTAATTCAAACGTGAAAAGGAAAAATTATAGGGTTTTTAAATGAAATTTTAATTTTTGAACCGAGTTTTTTTGAAAAATTTTTTTAAACTGATTTTTCAGTGAGGGAAGTTTCATTTAACGATTATTCGCCTTTTTTTGGGCAGTTTTTTTGAAAGACTAAGTTCTAATTTTTGTATGATTTTTTTACAGGAAAGAAAGAAAATCCGAAGTGAAATAAATACCTTCTTCAGAGAAACGGCAAAATTGAGAGGAAAAAAAGAGGGTTTTTCAAAAGTAAAGTTCCGTTTTGACTTGATTTTTCGAAGGAAAATGAGAAGACTGTTGGAAAATGCCGTTAAAAAAGATTCTATCGAAAAAAGTTACCACAGTTTTTCATCGACTTTAAAATTTAAAAAAAAAGAAAATTCGAAAAAAAGTTGACCTTTCTGGGCTGTTTCCTTCAGAAGGAGTTCTAATTTTGGATTTCGAAGAAGTTCAATAGTTGATTATTTCATAGGAATATTCCCAGTTTTATTTGAAAACTTTGGCTAAATTTTTATTTTTCAATGATAATTCGCCTTATTTAGTCGTTTCTTGAAGAGTTAGGAGGAAAAATAATAATAAGGAGATTTTTTAAAAAATAATTTCAACTTTTTCGAAAAAAAAAACTTTATTTTAAGTACCCTTTTTAAAGTTGCAAAAAATCACTCCCCTTGAAAATTTCTCTTTTCTCTGCAACTCTTTGCTGACCATCAATGTTTAAACTTTCACAACGATTTCCTTGAAACGAATCTCCTTGTTTTTGGCCGAAAAAAGGTCGAGAAACAAAATTGATGGGATTTTTTGTGCGTTCCTTGTTGACACCTTGTTTGGCTACCAGTTTCCCTGAGGTCAAGGCGAATCGAAGGCAATGAAACTGTTTTTCGCGACAAAAAAATTAAGACAAAAGAATGTTTCGCCGTTGTTTGTTGGTCAATCAGATAATTTTGGGAAGGAATTTCGGTTTTTAGTGTCCGTCTGAAAAAAAAAATCTAGTGGCCACTTAAGAGGTTGCTCAAGAACTAACTGGAGAGGGCACTGAAGGGGCCACTAAACCACCTCTACAGAAGCCCCCCCTTAGGGGCCACTATAGTAGTTTTAGTTGTCCAGTAGTACCACTTAGATTTCTTAGTAGGCCTCTAATTTCTAGCCACTTTAGTGGCCACTGTTTCGGCTACTATAGGGGCCACTAAAAGGTCAAAACCTAAAGTGGTCACGAGAAATATTCAGAAAGTTTCTAGTCGTGATAGCTTCCAAAACCATAGTTGGAAGATTTAAGAAACTATTCAAAACGAATAAAAATTCAAAAAAAAGTTAAGGTTAATTAAAAATAAAGGTGAAGGCATGGTTTAGGTCCTCGTTAGTTTCTTTCAACTTGTGACGTACTT